CCGGGGACTGGGATTTAGTATAGAGAGGTGGATGCTGTTTTATATATATATATATTTTGGACTTTTCAAAACAAACCTACGTTTCTATGCAAATGTAATTTTTTTTTTTTATTTTTTTTTTGGCGGCCCACATAAACTTAAAGGGACTCTCCAGTGCCAGGAAAACAGATTGTTTTCCTGGCACTGCAGGTCCCCTCTCCCATACCCGGTTGCTGAAGGGGTCAAAACCCCTTCAGTGACTTACCAGAGGCAGCGATGATGTCCCTTGTCGCTGCTTCTGTGTCCGCCCACGCTCCTCCCCTTCATCACGTCAGCTGGCGGGGGAGACCTAATGAGCATGCCCAGCTTTAGACCTCCCCATAGGAAAGCATTGAAAATGCTTTTCAATGCTTTCCTATGGTTATTTTAGCGACGCTGGAGGTCCTCACATAGCGTGAGGACGTCCAGCGACGCTCTAGCACAGAAAATCTGTGCTATAATCCCTGAAGTGCCCACTAGACAGCCACTAGAGGAGGAGTTAACCCTGCAAGGTTTATAAAAACTGCAATAATTACACCTGTAGGGCTAAGGGTAGTGGGAGTTGGCATCCAGACCACTCCAATGGGCAGAAGTGGTCTGGGTGCCTGGAGTGCCCCTTTAAACCTTGTTTATTTGGCCTTTGAGTTTGACATGCTTGATATACATGGACATCATAATGCATGGTCACCTTTACAAAGATCTATAAACCTTCTTTCATAGACTCAGACATGCACACTTTCTAATGCCTGGAGAGGGCCTTAAAATGGGAGTGAAATGTTTTTAGAAGTCAATGAGTCTTGTAGCAGATAACAAGTGCAAGGGTGGGAACAGTGGAAGGCTGATGCTCAGTTATGAAGGGCCCCTGGCACTAGAACGGCCTTTTGGGCCAGCCCACCCAGTGAGCATTTCAACGGTATCAGGGCCTACAAGAGGCTTGGACCAGTGTTACAAGTGTTTCATAGAGGGTAATTCTTTTGTGAGAAGTCTGGGTTCAATCAGAAGGCCTCTTTTGTAGGACTTGAACCCATGAGAGGCCAATGCCTAATTGGCTTCCAGGCATGGTTGAGGCCTAGTGAGAAGACTTCCCAGAATGAGGGGAACCTGTGAAAATCGTGCGCAGGACCTTGTGGTTTAGGGCAGTGATTCTCAACCTAGCACACTAAATGTCCAGGATTTAGGTAGCTCCCAATTCTGTTCCATTGGGAAAACCTGCACCATTGGTATGCCTTGTGACCTTAGATGGGAACCACCTGTGTAGAGTATTCATACTGGTAGTGTATGGCTGCTTGTACTGCTAACCGTAATATTTTAGCAAACGTGTTGCCTTTATCAAGTTTAAAGACAGTGGTGCTTTGCAAAACCTTTGGGATTATATTTGTGCACCATTTAAAGGGATACTTTATGCATCAAAACAACTTTAGCTTAATAAAGCAGTTTTGATCATGTCCCTGCAATCTCACTGCTGTAATACATACAGCCTGCATGAAACCTTTTTTCATTTTCAATCAGATGTTAAGTTGCTTTAGAAGTTTGTATTGCCTGCTCTGTGAATTCAACTTTAATCACGCACAGGAGGCTCTTGCAGGGTCTAGACAGTGATTAACAGAGCAGGAGTTAAATAATTCAAAACAGAATATGCAATAAAGGAAGATTTATTCTTAGAACATTACAAATCTCTTTGCAGAAAGTGTAAGTCACATGCAGGAAGGTGTGACTAGGGCTGTATAAACAAAGTGATTTAACCCCTAAATGGCAGAGAATTGAGCAGTGAGACCGCAGGGGCATGATCTATACACCAAAACTGCTTCATTAAAGGAACACTATAGTAACCTAAACAACTTAAGCTTAATGAAGCAGTTTTAGTGTATAGATCATGCCTCTCAGGTTTTACTGTGTGGGAAAAAAAAACAGGTTTCACTTTCAATCAGATGTAATTTACCTTGAACAATTTTATAGCTTGCTCTGTAAATTGAACTTTAATCACATACAGGAGGCTCTTGCAGGGTCTAGCAAGCTACGAGCATAGCAGGGGATATGAAAATCTAAATTAAACAGAACTTGCAATAAAGAAAGAATAAACTTTAGATGACTCTTTACAGGAAGTGTTTATGGAAGGCTGTGCAAGTCACATGCAGGGAGGTGTGACTAGGGTTCATAAGCAAAGTGATTTAATTCCTAAATGGCAGAGAATTGAGCAGTCAGGCTGCATGGGGCATGTTCTATACACCAAAACTGCTTCATTAAGCTAAAGTTTTTTTGGTGCCTTTAGTGTTCCTTTACGTATTTTTGTTTGTATTTTGTTTTACCTTGCGTGTGCATTAACTTGCTATACGGATGTATCTGATAAAATAAGTGTGGTTTTAAATTGAATAACTTTTTCTGTGCATATTTACATATGTGGCAAGTGGTACTGTAAATAATATTTATGAAATAATCATATTGACTGTTAGAATTTGACTGAAATTTCAACCCTATCAAATATTTTACTAAGACATAGCAGGTACTAATTGTTTCGGTATTTTTCCTACACCTGACACTTCTTGACACTGAGCTACCGCCGTCAAGAAGTGCACATCCACCAGCAATCACCAGTAATGGCTGCAGGAAAATTGCCTCTTTCTTTGAAGGATCCATCGGTTCCTCTCAGCTGAAGCTCTAGAAGCAGAAGAGGACCATCCGGAAAAGGATAGTGGTGTTCATGAGGGACAGGTAAGGTAAGTAGAACTCACCTTTGTCCCCCAACAGCGACAGTGTCACCGTCAGTGGTCTTTGCAAATTCAGTTGCGCTTTAACATGTGCAATATGCATATAGGACTGTATTTATCAAGGTTATTCAAATAAAACTCCTCAGATTTCCTGCGCTTTTAAGTCTGGTGTAATACCTACCAAGACTATTTGCTCACTACGATGCTGTTGCAGCCTTTTGCACTCAGACTGGATTGATATGAATTTGCTGACAGCTGGTCCTGAGCCAGTTAAAGTGACACTCCGGGCAGCCAGACCACTTCTGCCCATTGGAGTGGTCTGGGTGCCAACTCCCACTACCCTTAACCCTGCAAGTGTAATTATTGCAGATTTTTCTATAAACTGCAATAATTACATTGCAGGGTTAACTCCACCTCTAGTGGCTGTCTACTAGACAGCCACTGGAGGGCACTTCCGGGATTCGAGCACAGATTTGCTAGAGCGTCGCTGGACGTCCTCACGCTGTGTGAGGACCTCCAGCGTCGCTCAATTCCCCATAGGAAAGCATTGAAAAGCATTTTCAATGCTTTCCTATGGAGAGCTCTAATGCGCATGCGCGGCATTAGGTCTCTCCAGCTCGCACACCGGCCCACTAATGAAGAGGAGCGATGGTGACCCGAAACCACCGCCGAGGGTTTTCCTGGCACTGGAGAGTCCCTTTAATTCTGCTTTATAGACCAAACCTTCGACCACTGTTTGCTTGCCTAGAAACCTTGAAAGATCTGTTGCTGGGTAGCCTTCTGCCCAAGGACTATGGGCCATGTAAAAAGACTTTGTGTGGTTTCCCTGTACTGTTCGGGAACTGAACAGATCCACAAACTAAAGACCACCCAGGAGCTTGTTAAACCATATTGACACCTTATAACTATTCTCACCGCAGTGTTCTAATTGTTTGTCTGGGTGGCTGCCATTCGAATGCATGAACACGTGGTGGCGGCTATCTTGTTCACACGAACGCAGGCAGCGTAGTTTGGTAGTCGAGTGCATGGAACTAAAATGGGATACACTATCTCGCGAACACCGCTGAACTCCCAGCATTGCCTACATTCGGTCCTTCACATTGTGGAAGAACACTGTTCGATAGAATCGTTCAAATGGATCGGGTGAACAAGCTCCACGTTACAATTATGGACTCCGGCAGTTTGTTAGTTTTTAAACTCCCGAAGTTGACCGACTGCTACCACTTTTCTTATGGAACTATTTTGGTCAGTAGCGGTCGGTCAAAAGTTGACTTCCTTGGAAAACCTTAACCCATGAACCACTGAGTGATTTTTAGATTTGTTGGTCACTCAGATCGGGGCTATCCAAGGATGTGACTCTTGTGGGTTTTCCATGGACTCTGGGGATACTTTTGGGGTGTTTGTAAATTGTATACTTTTCTGTACCTTGAGATAATTGAGTTTGTACAGTTCCTGACTCAATTATCTCTCAGACTCAGGGGAGGAGTTTACTGTTTGTATAAATTTTGTGACTGTGCTCCCATTAAACAGATGACTTGTGGGGGGAGAGGGGGTGCTATAGAACTCTGCAATGACCCATGAATCAATTGGTGGGGGAGGGGGGGGAAGGGCGGCATATAATGCATTGCAATAAACAAATTTAATCTGCAGTGGTTAAAGTCATGTATACACAATTGCAGAGTATGACTGCATACCCTGGTAATTGAGTATAAACAATTGTTGGCATGAAGGGGTAAATTGTTGGCAGGGATTTAAGGGATACTTTAAGCACCAAACCCACTACACTAAGATGCATATTCATTGTCCTTTTGGTCTGGTAATGTAAAACATTGCCATCTTAGAGAAAGAGTCTGAAAGCCACTAGTGGCATTAACACATGAAGAACTTTTAAAATAAAATAAATAAAAGCAACTTTACTATGAAGATGAGATTTTAAAAAAATCCACTCCTAGAGGAAATGTAATATGAATTTTATTTAGTTTAAAAAGTATATAAAGTCGAGTAAAAACAAGCATTGCAGCAAGGGGTACTCAGTGTCAGGATAAGTGTTGGCATAGTACTGAGAGGGGATGTCTCACTAGTGAGAGGGTTAGTAGAGATCTAAAAGGGTTCTTAAAGGATTATTCGAAGCACCATGACTATACCTGGAGTCTGTATGTACAGCATTTAGCTATGAGACGCAACAGATACAGAGTTTAACCCCTTTACTGCCAAAGGTATAACCCCACCTGGCAGCATCGCTGGTGTCATTAGACAGATCGGAACAAGAGTTCTGGGCTCACTAATATTATTTGGCAAACTGCTTTGCAATTGGCAAAGATTCAAGGGGTCTATAGTATTCGAATTGTTGGGAGTTCAGTATTTGAATACTCTTGTCCTAGAGTCCAGGCATATTTATCTTGCTAATCTGCAAAACTCAAAATATTTTAAATATTTTAATAGTGCAAAAACTAAACTCCAAAGGTTGTGTTTCTTTAAGATAAGACAACACACACACACGTGTATGTACACATCTGACAATAAAATTAAACATGCAGCCTTGACTTAACTTTGGTCAGATGAAATGTACAAACCCTCCTTAAAAATGACTTGCAAAAATGGTGTTAAATTAAAATATTTATTTTCATTGGAGTGACCTTTTAAGCAAGATACACTTACTGTGTTCTTGTAGTTTGCTAATATATGTGTGGATATATAGTGCTCAGGGCTGGCATTAGTATAAGGACTAATGACCCATGCCCATTAAATAGGACATTGATCCTAAAAATTAACTTACTGATAGCAAGCTAAGCACAAATCCTCTTGCTGCTTCTAACCGTCAAACATCCTCCAGTCACCATGTGGCATATGTACTTTCTACTACATCCACCTTCTCTGCCTCAGTCTGTATACCAGGAAGGAAGTGGAAAAGTAAATCCTGATAAGAGAATGTTCACGGTTTGTGATTAGTGAGAGAGAGCTGTTGGGTCTTGTTTAATGGACAGACAGACTGAACTGATTTGTAGGAGAGAAAGATTGACATAGGGTATTTATAGACTTAAAATGTATCCTGCAAGTGTTCCTCTAGTACCAGGTCAACCAGATACAAGACACTATGGCTGTTAGTGTTTTCTGTCTGTAAGATTCTGTAATTAGGCCCAAGAGCACCATAATTGTCAGCACCAGTCCTAAAATAATCTTAAGTCCATGACTGGTATTTCCTGTAAGAACTTAAAGGGACACTCCACTGCCCAAATACAAAATCACTGTTTAGTAAATATACCCCAATGAAAACTTGCATGCATTTAATTATGTATTTTTCATTGGAGTTATATCTAAAAACAGTTTGCAGAACCTTTAGTTCTCGTGTCTGCTGCCTTTGCAAGCTCTCCCCTTCTAACCCAGCCCAGACTTTCTGTGGCTGTCCATCACAGCGCAATGAGAAGTCTTTGTAAGTCAGGTGCTCTGGGCAATTGCTGCCTCTTGAGGTCAGCTGCATAGAGCTAACAAAACCAGGAAGTAATATTACCTGTTGTCTGCTTGAAAGCCAGAAAACTAAAAAATTACACATTCTTCACATCTAAAGCTTTTTAGCAAACTAAAGTTGGTTAGGAGTCTGAAGTGACCCTTTAAAAAGAAAACAAAACTGAAAAAAAAACCTCCAGTACAACACACGTAAGATGGAATAATTAGTATTTTATTTTTTAGTACAAAATTTTTTTCAGAAATCTATATTGATAGTAACAGGAGCTAACCCAGCTATATATTTCCATACCTATTCTGAAAAGGAATTTCTAAAGACAAACTGGAATGTTATCAAAGAGTAAGCTATTTAATTAAATAACGTCGAGAAGTTGCAGAGCTGTAGCAAGAGAGATCAGGATAACCCCGAAGAGTCCTATATAACCATAAGCGCCTTTCATTCTTTTCTGTGGATCTGCAAGTAGAGCAACAGAATTAGAAACACAGTTCAGGAACAGTCACATACATATCATGTAGTGTGGAAAATAAATGGTGCATTGTCACCCCACAAGTAATATATTTAATTGATATTTGGGATAGTATTACCTAAAATACAAAAGATTATCTATGTAGCAGATGCGAATAAAAAAAAATAAAAAATTATTTATAAATATAATATGCACTAAGGTGTGTCAGGATTATCCATGTATTGTTGGTGAATAGTTGAAGCCCAGTAGACTCGTCAACATTTCAGTGGCGTGTTCCATGAGCTTATCTAGTAAGCTCAAACAGACAAACATAACTTTTAGACATCCCACTATTTGCTTGATTACCCAAGTAAATGATTGTATTGTTATACTGTCCTGATTCTGTCTCCTCTAGCCAGTATAACATGTGTACCATAAGTAGGTTCTCACCTCCTGTGTAATATCCCCAGGCGTAGGAAAAGCGGCTGGTTACCCAAATAGCACCCAATACCGATGCAGACAACTGGGGGAGGAAATATAAAAATAACAGCATTAGCTCGGTTACAGGAACAGCATTAAAGACACAAGAGAATTGGCAAATGCAGTCATTCTATCTGTAGTAAATATAAATAATCCAAAGACAAATTAACACAGAGAATTGTAAGCAGGCTTGCAGTTAGCATGTCATATTTGAAGTCCAACCGGGGCAACGTTTCCACATCCCTTCAGCCCAGTAAATACTAATGAAGCTTTTACTGGTGTGAGAGCAGAGGAGTACATTGCTTCTGTGTACAGAGCAAAGTCATTATCCTTGTGACGCTTTAGGATTGACAAGCATGCTGGAGTGTTTACAAAAAAAATACAAATTTGAATTACTTGAGAACCTCCCCCCCACCCCAAAAAAAAATAAATATTTGGAACTTACACTTTATGTGAGATTTATCAAGTCAAAACAGGTATTATTTTAAGTGCAGAGTAGCAAATTATGAGCTGCATTCTATTGGTTTCCATGGTAATTGTCACCTTGATAAGTCCCACCTTGTACATCATATTTTTACACCTAATGTTGGCCAAACAAAAATCATACACCACCTGTTTTCACTAGCTGCCATCTTTGCAGACTACTATGTATTGCTATGTCAACTATTTACTGGCATGTCTGTTTAAAATAAACAGATTACTACTATGACATTTTGAATCAGCAATTCAAACAGCAATTCTACAATGTAATATTTCCCATTCTTCTCTTTTTATACATAATTTATCAGTAAACAAACAAATAGATAAATGGAAAAGCCCTTTCAATTAGAATGGGATTAATTCACTAAACACTAATTTTAGAAAATCGAAAAAAATGTAGTCTAAAATAACAGATTTGAAAAAAATCTCATGCTGGACTTTACCTACAGAATTGCTAGTTTAGTCTGAATCATGCAATTCAGTTTTTAATTTAGCACCATGTACTGTTTAGTGAACCTAGTTGGTCTAGATCAGCGTTTCGCCAACTGGTGTTCCGCCAAAAGTTTAAAAAATAAAATGGCTGCGGGCGGCGAGGGAGCAGTGAGCTCCCTGCTCAGATCCCTTGCGCGCACTGCAGTGAGAGGCGTGCAAGGGAGCTGAGCAGGGAGACCACTGCTCCCTCGCCGCCAGCCACTCAGCAGCCCCTTTGGACCCCAGGGACTTCATGCTCAGCACACCAGAAGCCCAACTGGACCCCATGGACTGCATGCCAGCACTCATAAAAAAGGTATGGGAGCTGGGTGGAGTTAATTATGTAAAAAAAAAAAAAAAAATGTATGTGTGTGTTAGGGAGTTTGTATGTCTGTCAGTGAGAGTGAATGTGTGCTTGTCAGTGAGTGTACGTGTTTGTCAGTAAGAATGTATCTGTTCTTGCCAGTGATAGGGTATAAGTGTCTGTAAAATAGTATGTGTGTTTGTCAGTGAGAGTGTGTCTGTCAAAGAGTGTGTATATGTCAGTGTGTGTATCTGTGGGTGCAAGTGTGTGTGTGTGTGTGTATGTCACTGTGTGTATTTGTGAGTCAAGGTGTGTGCCAGTGTGTATCTGTGTGTCAAGGTGACACATACACAGACACATACAAACACAGATGCACACACTTTGACACACAAATACAAACACCTTGACACACACATACATACACACACACACACAGTGTTTCAAGGTGTGTGTATCTGTGTGTCAGTGTATCAACATTGTGGAACTCCCCCACACACACACACTATGTCAAAGGGTTCAACACGAAAACATCAATTGGGAACCCCTGGTCTAGATCCACCTCCCACTGTATGAACAACATTTAGAATTTCTACAGATTATAGTGAATCAGAGCAACTGTGCAATGTCAGATTAGAATTCAAACTAATCTGACATTGAATTGCAGCTTTTCATTTAGACAGGGTTTGTGGCATATTATTATATGATGTTCTAGGACACAAACAAAAATGCTGGATCTCACAATAATGTTCATACATACACAAATGCATTAACTTACTGGATATGCAAGACCTGCTATCAGTTGGAAGATCAACCATGCGGGATATGCTTCCAGTGTGTTCTGATGTGCTCTCTGGATACAATTAAACACATTCTCCTTGTCAGAGTACATCTGTGGATACTGCAATGAGAAAGGAAGGACTGTTAGAAAACGGATTGCGCAGTACCAACATAAAATGGAAACAAACTGGAGGTGTGTACTAAAGTCTAATTTAGATGTACATCAACTTGTTTGTTTAGCGAATAAACCTAAATATGTGGACAAAGTGGATGTGGATATTTCTGCAAACTCTCTAGAATTATCTGCATTTCTTTATATGGGTGCTTAATTCCTATTTAAATACTCTGTTGCATTTTTCATATACACAAACAAAATAGCCCCACTACTTGGAATTCTCTAAGTTATATATATATACACACACACACCACACATTACTAGTATCAAACTACTACAACCTAATGCAGTGGTTTTGGTGCATATGCCCTGTGCCTGCAGTGAGACAAATTAAAGCATTGCAATATTAGTTAAATACATTTGGCTAATAATTCTTCTCATAGAGAAATATAAAATCTTTATTAAAGGTTTCTTGGCTGCTTTGCCCATATTGGCCATGCTAATAAAAGCTATCATACGATCAAGCAGGAATTACTTTGTCTTATGGGAAAAGCTTAAGTTGACAAAACGCGGCTCTTCTTCGCCCAACCGGGGAAACGCGCGTCGGGGCTCAGTTATACTTTGGACACCTTAGATCGTAGCCGATTCTGGCGTCATAGTATTCATACCACTCGACAATTCAGAGAAGGCAGGATCCCCCTTCTCTCTTGTTTCGACAGGTTCAGGTATGCTCGTTATATTACCGCACTGCTGTTATTAGGGAGAGTTCACTTTGGATGTCAAGCCCTGGTGTCCTTGAAGGCACAGAATAGAGGTATAGTAGCAGTGCCGTATGTCTTTTTTGCTCTGCCAACACATTATTTTGTATCCAAGAGACTATTAGCTTTGGCTTATATTCCCAACCCGGGTGCCCCTTTGGGCACAAGACAGTGATACTTACTTTTAGAGTGTTGGAGGACCACATGCATTAGTTTGGTGTAGATTTTAGAGTAAACTAACGTGGTAATATATGCTCATTTGATAGCACTATTTAGTTGAGGTTTCTCCTTGGCTTTGTATCTAGATAACCTGCTTGCAACATTGTTGCTCTTCAGTTTGCTAGGTTTCACTAGGATGCTGCAGGAATAGAGACTTTGCACAAGTTGCCCAACTTGTACACAGAGTTAGATCTAACAGCTTGTCACAGAGCCAATATTACCTTTAGACTTAATACCCTACAACAATTAAGATAAGGTTCTGTGTTTACAACATTTAGACTCACACCATTGGACATTCTTTGTATGTAGTTAGTTATATGTTTTATACTTGTATCTATGCACACTTGTAAATACCTTGGTTAACATGAGGTGTGTGTGTGTATATATATATATATATATATCATTGTTTTCAAGTTTACTACTATATTTCTTATTCTTCTTAACAGATACCCAATAAAGATTTAAGTTTTTACTCCGTTTCCATCTAGTGGTCATGGCACTTGTCCAATCCTTGTTCTTTAGATAACTGGGTTCATTTCACCCTCTGACCTTAATATATTTCTTCTCCCATCCTTTCTTTGACAAAACACACAATTGACTTTAACCCCTTAAGGACCAAACTTCTGTAATAAAAAGGTAATCATGACATGTCATGTGTCCTTAAGGGGTTAAAGGAACACTATGGGGTCAGGAACACAAACATGTATTTCTGACCCTATAGTGTTTTCTATAGGGCCCCCTTTTCCTCTTATAAAGGGTTAAAACTCACCTTATTTACAGAGGCGTGTGGATCTGCTGGCGCTGGCCCCGCCCCAGTTCTGCCTCCTTGCTTACATCATCAGAAGTTATAATTTCAGCCAATTCATTCGCTGAAATCAGCAAAGAGGCAGGATGGTGGTGGGGCCAAACGAATCAGCACCTCCGCATAGAGATTCGAATGCATCTCTGAGAAAAAAAAAAAAAACACTGGGGACACTGAATGGCAGTCCTGCACACTATGCAGCACTGCCTCAGGAAGCACCTCTAGTAGCCATCTGAGGAGTGGCCACTGGTGGTGTCCCTAGACGGCAAAGTAAAAACTGCCTTTTTTCTGAAAAGGCAGGGTTTACATGAAAATGCCTGGAGGAAATGATTATATTCACCAGAACAAATATTAAAGGATCACTATAGGGTCAGGAACACAAACATGTATTCCTGACCCTATAGTGAAAACCCATGGGAAAAGCATTGGATTATCTAAAATCAGCAACAGGGCGGGGCCAAATGCTGTTTTGGCCAATCAGCACCTCCTCCTCATTAGAGATGCATTGAATCAATGTATCTCTGAGGAAAATTCAGCGTCCCCATGCAGAGCATTAGGACACTGAACGACTGGGCTGCTTACTGTGTAGCCTGGAGCCAGGAAACCCTTCAGTGGCCATCTGAGGAGTGACCACTTGGAGGTTTCCCTATGGGCAATGTATGCAATGTATTTCCCTATGGGCAATGTAAACACTGCCTTTTCTTTGAAAAGGCAGTGTTTACATGAAATTGCCTGAAGGGAGCTATTATACTCACCAGAACAACTACATTAAGCTTCAGTTGTTCTGGTGACTATAGTGTCCCTTTAAGCTGTAGTTATTTTGGTGGCTATAGTGTCCCTTTAAATAACTAAATTGGCATACTTTGATTGTTTCGTATAAAATGACAACATGACATTACATTGACAATGGACTATAACAGAAGGGAACTGCTGGCCATCTGGAGACGTTGGGATGAAAGGGGGAAAAGAAAGAGGAAAAAAAATATATATATATTTTAATATTAGATTGTATTAGACAAATAAGTTGGGAGTATTTATTAATAGTCCCTGACGAGGCTATTGGCCCGTTAGACTTTAGTACAAATGATAAAGGTTGTAAAGAAAGGACTAGTCTTGTTTTAATATAAGCCGTCCCAGCCAAGGTGTCCATTTTTTTTTTATCATACCATTTAATATTTTCCTGATAGATGTCCTTTTCCATGTTACATGGTTATTCAACCTGATTTACAACCTGTAGCCAAGAGGGGATATCCTGTTTAAGCCAGTATTTTGAGATTAGAACTTTTGTGGCCATCGTCAATTCAATTATATGAAATCTTCTCTATCATGGAAAATGAAATATGTTGAAATACAAAAAAACAGCTAGGAAATGGAATTCGAAATATTCCTTTACTAAGTCTTTAAGCTCTTTTAATACCCTGTCCACGGTGGTTTTGAGGTCACAGTCCCACTGTAAATTTTGTGCACAGGATATATATGCAAACTTGGTGGGGAAAACACCTGGATTAAATCTACCTGCCTACCCATCCAAAATACAATAATGGACACAATGTATAGATTTCTATAGATCTCTATTTTTGCACACACTATGCGTAGTTGCTATGAATTTTGTGAGTCTGATGAGGGTATGAGGAACTGTTAAAATAAAACAATTCAGCTGCGCTACTGAGCACAATACTGATGCCGATAATACACAGTTTCCATGATTTATAGAGGTTACAGAATCATATTTGGAAGGTGCTCATTTCAGTTTCCAAATTTTACTAACTTATTGTTTTGTTGAATTTCAAATGCTATATATTGTTAGCTGATACTATTCAATACTACATATTGAATGTTTTCCCTGAATCTCTTTCTAGTCTAACAGGTTTCTACAGGGTTGTGTTCTGTAGTATTAGACAACTGGTTAAAAGTTCAATTACAGAATTTTCTGTGTAGTCAGCATGACAAGCATTTTTGCAACGTGAAATGAGTGGTTTTTAAGAAACACCAAGAAGAAGAGATCTAGAACTACAAAGAAACCTGTCACAAGTGAAAATTCAAACTAAATATTGTTAACCCCTTAAAGACTGGACTGTTTTTGCGATGTTGTACATTTGCGACCAGGCATATTTTTACACTTTTGTGGTGTTTGTGTTTGGCTGGAATTTTCCGCTCTCTCATTTACTGTTCCCATACAAATTATATATTGTTTTTTTCAGGACAAAAGGGGCTTTCTTTACATACCATTATTTATATAATCTCATGTATTTTAATTTAAAAAAAATAAAAAAAATAATGAAAAATTGAAAAAAATACATGTTTTTTGACTTTTACTTGAAAAATCTTTTACTCATCTACAAAAGCGAATTAAAAAAACTGCTAAATAGATTCAAAATTTTGTCCTGAGTTTAAAAATACCCCGTGTTTACATGCTTTTTTGCTTTTTTTTGCATGTTATAGGCTATAGGTACAAGTAGAATATTGCGGTTTCAAAACATAAATTTTTTAAATTTATCAATAGTGAGATTGTAACACTATTATCTGTCATAAATCTCTGAATAACACCCCACATGTACATATTTTTTTTAAAGTAGACAACCCAGGGTATTCAATATGGGGTATGTCCAGTCTTTTTTAGTAGCCACTTAGTCGAAAACACTAGCCAAAGTAAGCATTCATATTTGTTTGTGTGTGAAAAAAGTAAAAAAACTAAATTGAACGTTAATTTTGGCCAGTTTTTGTGACCAAGTGGTTACTAAAAAAGACTGGACATACCCCATTTGCAATACCTTGGGTTGTCTTCTTTTGCAAATGGTATGCCATCATGGGGGTAATTCTCATTCCTGGGCTACCATACGCTCTCAAAGGCAACGTAACTAACCTGGCCATTTTCAATGTAAAAATATTTGACCCATATATTTGACCTTGTAACGTTCAGGTCGTAGTAGTCTCTGAAGATGGTACTGTTTAATAGATTTTCAAAGTTGAACACAAATATTAGTGTATCAGAACAGTAAAATGTATCACAGCAATAATATCATCAGTGAAAGTGCTGTTTGTGTGTGAAAAATGCAAAAAAGTCAATTTCACTGACAATATTATCGCTGTGATAGGTTTTACTGTTTTGAATCACTAATATTTGTGTTCAGCAAAGTCTCCCGAGTAAAACAGTACCCCCCATGTACAGGTTTTAGGGTGTCGTAGAACGTTACAGGGTAAAATACAGTGCTAGCAAATTCAATTCTCTGGAATTTCGGCCTGGGTTGGCAGGCAGGTCCCTCAAATTGCAATCAATAAAATTACTGAATTATGTAAAAATATTACATAAATACGCACGTAGAATTTAAATATATATGCATATTTATATATTTGAAGTCTACGTGTATATTTATATAATTATTTATGTAATTTTGTATATGGACATATGTATATTTCTTATTATTTGTATTTATTTTTATATACATAGATATATATACAAATTCATTCTAAGTGTATTTTGATATAAATATATATATATTAATTTTAAAATACAGTTAGAATAAAATTACATATAGATAATTTTTTTTAATTTTTTTATTATTTTAAATTTATTTAATTTAAATTACTTATTTATATTTTATAATAATATATATATACACAATATATATAGTTATTATATATTATATATACGTGCGTAATTTAATTATAAGTGTATTTATATTAATATAAGTACATATTAATATAAAAATACACTTAGTATGACATTTATATATATGATAGACATATATAGATATAATATATGTCTATATATCATATTTATACACATATATATAATTATTATTATTTTTTGTATTACCATTAACTTTATTTATTTTTTTGATTTTACACTAGCAGGGAGACTGCCTGTCAGCACAGGCAGTCCCCCTGCAGGCAGCACTATGGACACCTATTGTGACCATGTGATCGCTGTGTTAAGCGATCACATGGCCACAGGGGTCCTAATCTGCCGTGGGGAGACTGTCTGGGCTGCAGGCAGTCTCCCCACAACAGGAGGAACACTGATCGCCGCCGGGGGAACGACGGCGATCAGGTAAGTACCCCCAGACCGTTAGGACGGTTCAGGACCGTCATCGGTCCTCAAGGCAAAAATGCCGATGACGGTCCTGAACCGTCCTCAGTCGCTAAGGGGTTAAATCACACATGATACGATGTTACAGCAATGACTATCCTCCCTATAAAAGTAAACGTATTTTATTTAAACAAACCGGGTTATTCGTGAAAGAATGAATAATTAGGGATTCAAACAAAACATAGAAATAAAAATTGTGCTCAAATTCCTACTACTCCTAAATGGCTGAAATGGTCACGGTATTCAACAGTCCAAATTATATATCTATATATAATATATCTGCACTCACCTGAGCATACATTATAGGGTGCTGCTGGGGCCCATTTATATACCATACAAAATCCAACACATTCGCTCATTCACTAAACATCAATTTCATGTCTCACAGAATGCTATAGTTTTATTTAAAAACCTCACCTAGGCAAAAAAATGATGGGGGTTTAGTTACAGTATATGATCATACATTGCATAAGCCCGCCACCACGTCAATGTTACTCATTCTTGGCAGGTCCTACTCTAGCGGTCATTCGGCATAAGAGGATGAACTGCCAAGAATGAGGTACATTGACGTTGTGGCAGGCTTATGTAATGTATGATCATAGCATAACTAAATCCCCCGGTAATTATTTCTTAGGTAAGATGTTTTTAAATAAAACTATCATTCTGTGAGATTTGAAATTGCTGTTTAGTAAATCAGCGAGTGCGCTGGATCTTGTATGTTGTGTGGATATATATATTAAAAAATTGTTCTAGTTATCCAAATCAGCTATTGAAAGGGTTAAAAAAGTAAATACATGATTAGTGTAAATGGGCAGCGTATTCGTGAAATAATCTAGTTTGAACCTGTTGCCGACCATCAATGAGAACCTTTGACCTCGCTACTAGAAATACATGTTGTTGGTTGCTGAATAAGCAATATCGTGTTTACCTGATGTGATCTTGTCATATTACTTTTGCTGTAACTTCTGTCTATAAATATATTTGCCTGAGTCTGGATACATTGGTAGTAGCCCAAATTGAAACACGTCGTCTGTGTATCACTGAAAGGCTCTCCCTGAACGTTCGATCCAAAAGTGAGGTGTATGGAACGCTTTGCCCAGCAGTTTATTATGACCCCAACAAATTCATTTTGAACTCTGTTCCAAATTGCCAAATGTCAATTCTGTGCAAAAAATAATTTTGTCGTCACTACACACTGCACGTTGGCAATGCTTTTCCCTTTCAGACACAGCCTGCAAGGGGTTAACCCTCCAGCTTCCCTATACCCTCCGTTTTAATCGCCCCTCATATCCTCACCGCCCCCTCCTTTTCTCTTGTCGGCGCAGACAATGCACATATGCTCTAAACAGGTTAGAAAGTCCAATCAGGACCTTGCGACGACTGCAATGACGTCAGTCAGGGAGTGGAAAGGTAACTTTTATAACATTATTTTAGGGTATTATTTGGGGAAAAAAGCGGCAAATAGAGTCGGAGTAACCCACTGAGAGTGCGCATTCCTTCTCAGTTCTGATTAGCAGCAAATCTGGGACATTCTGAGTTGAGCATCTCATCTTTTCTAAACATATTTGATGTGTTGTCTCTATAATGCATTTAATATGTGTGTGGGTGGGGTAGTTGGATCAAGCCTGGAGTGCTCAAAAATAGAGAACTTTAAACCTGGTCTGTTTTGAGGGTTGGACTCAGAGCTCAGTTGTATTTCTGCAGATAAATATGCATCTTAACATGTTTCTGAAAACATTTCAAGTGTTTTGCAAGTACTAGCGGTATATTCTCTAAACTCCCAACTGTAACAAATACAATTTCCAATGGCTTGAAAGAACTGACCTAGATTGTCACATACTGATTATTTTTAAAAGAAAATGTATGACAATCAGGAGTTTAGTGAATAAGCTTTTTTTTTTTTTTTTTTTAGTATACCACAAAAATAATATTTACAAATGGACTCCTGAGCGTGGCAGCAGATAAACTTTTACTAAAAAACAAGTAAACAATGCAGTGTCTCCAGGGAAAAGCGTGCACCTACTATACCTTCACTCCATACTTCTTCCTTGCTTTCCCCACATTTATACCGAGGTACATCAGCATTACATAGCTGTAGATGAAAGTCAGGATGACATAGGCAAAATTCTGGGGCAGCAAGTCTTCGATATCCGTCATCTTTACAGCTCTCAGCCACTAACTATGCTGTAAATGTTCGATGCCTGTTTCCCACGCACTATTTATGCGGGTGGGCGGAGCGCCCATTATCACAGTCTTGCATCACTTGGCAGTGAGTGCAGCATTCTACACAACGTGATGTAACAGTGCAGGCGTTCGATAAATGAATCTAGACCCACCCTCTAACTGTAGGAAAAAACAGGAAGGCCATGCACTATGAATATGTCATAACCATAACCTATACATGTAGTTTGACTCTCTGCTACCCAAGCCCAGATACGGATTATCCATACATGTAGATTGGTCTAGTTCGGTTTGTTTGATAACCCCCCCCCACCCCCCTTTTCTCATAATCATAAAAAGTATATATGTACAGTATACTGGATGGTGATTCTTGCAGCTCTACCATAATATGTGTTAGAACAGGTCTCACCGTATAGGATGGCAAGGAACATCCATAATGAATTTTTTTTTTTTTTTTTAAAGGGACCAACTCCAAAGTTAAACTGTTTACTAAGGCACATTGTATTACATTTATTGAAGCTGTATAAAAGGTATATATCTTTACATGTCTGTATTACTTACTGAAGTTTTTTTGTTTGTTTTTTACAGAAATAAAATTAGGTTTTTCTCTGGCACCATGAATACATGTATAACCCTAACACAATCTTCTTGGCTCTAGTTAAAGGAGAACTATAGTCACCAGAACCACCACAGCTTAAATGGACACTATAGTCACCAAGACAACTTTCGCTTAATAAAGCAGTTTTGGTGTATAGATCATGCCTCTGAAGTTTCACTGCTCAATTCAGTGCTTAAAACCCATAGGTGGCAAATAGAGTTGGAGTAACCCATTGAGAAAGTGTGTATTCATTCTCAGTTCTGATCAGCAGTAAATCTGGTACATCCTGAGTTGAGCATCTCATCTGTTCTAAACATATTTGCATTTAATATGTGTGTGGGTGCGGTAGTGGGATCAAGCCTGGAGTGCTCAAAAATAGAGAACTTTAAACCTGGTCTGTTTTGAGGGTTGGACTCAGAGCTCAGTTGTATTTTTGCAGGTAAACATGCATCTTAACATGTTTCTGAAAAGGGCTTTGCAAGTACTAGGGGTATATTCTCTAAACTCCCAACTGTAACAAATACAATTTCCAAAGGCCTGAAAAAACTGACCTATAGTCACATATTGATTATTTTTACCTTTTTGTAAAAAATGTATGACCATTAGGAGTTTAGTGAATAAGCCCTTTTTTAGTATACCACACAAATAATATTGATAAATGGACTCAAGCGTGGCAGAAGATAAACTCCTACTAAATAACTCAAGTAAACAATGCAGTGTCTCCGTACTTCTTCCTTGCTTTCCCCACATTTATACCAAGATACATCAGTTACTTTTGTTTCTGTTTATGCAGCCCTAGGCACACCTCCCCTGTGACACGGCCTACATGAAAAAAAAATAATTTTTTGAATCAGATGTAACTTTCTTTAAAAGTTATATCTACTGCTCTGTAAATTGAACCCTTCAGAGTCTAGCAAGCTAGTAACAGAGTAAGAGATACTAAATTAAACACAATTTGCAATTAAGGAGGTGTAAACATTAGATAACTCTTTACAGGAAGCATTTAGGAAGGCTGCACAAGTCACATGCAGGGAGGTGTGCATAGGCCTGCATTAACAATGTGATATAACTCCTAAAGTGCAGAGAATTGTGTAGTGAGACTGCAGGGGCATGATCTATACACCAAAACTGCTTCATTAAGCTAAAGTTTGTTCTGATGACTATAGTGTCCCTTTAATGTAATGTTTTTGGTGTCTATAGCCTGTACCTGTAGCCTTTTCAATGTAAACGCTGTCTTTTCAAAGGAATGGCAGTATTTAGATTGCTGCCTACTAGCACCTCTAGTGGCAGTCACTCAGACTGGCACAAGAGGTGCTTCCTTTTTCAGTGCAGCATAGTGTCCAGCACTGGCATACAGCGTCTCCACTTTCTGAATCAAGACACTGAATGTTCCCCTCTCAGGCCTTTTTAAAAATGTTGTGACAAGGTTTGCACACCTTGATTTGGGTAGTTACTGCACATCTTGATTTGGGTAGTTACAATATTGTTTGGCTGCATCCAAGCTTCATAAGAGCACAGTGGTTTCTATAATTTAGTAAATGGAAGGGGCTTGAAACAACATGACTCTTCCTAGAGCTGGCTGCCTGGCCAATCGGAGGCGAAGGGCCTTGGTAAGAGTGGTGACCAAGAACCCAATGATCACTTTGGGTTAGCCGAGATAGCCTCTCCAGATGTGCAGCTAGAGAACCTTTGAGGGTGACTATCTTTTTTTATTTTTCATTCCATTATTTTGCATTTAAAAAGACTTGATAAAGGCTCCGAAACAAATTTTGTTCTGCACTCCAAATAAAGACTGTATATCAAAGAAACCTCCAGGTGTGCCCAGGCCACTTTTCTCTACTATATTTTGTATGGGACATTGGTTCCAGGAACCTGCTGGAAGTATTCCCAGAATAACGGAAGTGTGCAATATTCTCTTAAATGGATACTATTGTCCCTTGACAAGTGGGTGCTCTCCTCTGTCCCTTGACGAGTGGGTGCTAAGGCGCATGCATGGCGAGTGGCACGCGCGCATTATGCCTCCCCGTAGGAAAGCATCAGATCCGGCAGAGGCAGTGTTATGCTCTGGGCTATGTTCTGCTGTGAGACCTTGGGTCCTAGCAATAATGGTATTACTTTGATACATACCACTGAACTAGAAATTTTTGCAGACAACGTACTCCCGTTCATGGCCATGGTGTTCCCTGATGGCAGTGGCCTCTTTCAGCAACATAATGCACCCTGTCACACACACAAAAAAAAAATGTTCAGGAATGGTTTGAGGAACATGACAGTGTCCAAGGTGTTGCCTTGGCCTCCAAATTCCCCAGATCTCAATACAATTTAGTATTTTTGGGATGTGCTTGAACAACAAATCCGATCCACGGAGGCCCCATCTAGCAACTTGCAGGACTTCAAAGATATACTACTAATGTCTTGGTGCCAGATACCATAAGACACTTTCAGAGGTCTTGTGGTGTCCATGCTTCGAAAGCATCAGAGCTGTTTTGGCAGCACAAGGGGGGCCTACATGATATTACGCAGGTGGGTTTAATGTTTTCACAAAACATAAAAGTAGTGGAAGAAACACAAACACTTGTGTAAGAAAGGAGGTATCTATAAACAGGAAATATGAATAAGAAACAACCTGTACAGATGGGAAAATATAACACTGGAGAAAATACCCAGAATGACAGGGAGAAATCTGTAAGCAAATCACAGAAAGTACATAGCGTAATTCAGCAAATGATGGAGCACCCTCCAAATATAGTATAGGTGTTACACTCACAAATGGATATTAAAGGGACAATTACCTGAACAACTTTAGCTTAATTAATCAGTTTTGGTGTATAGAACATGCCCCTGCAGCCTCACTGCTCAATCCTCTGCCATTTAGGAGTTAAATCCCTTTGTTTATGAACCCTAGTCACACCTCCCTGCCTGTGACTTGCACAGCCTTCCATAAACACTTCCTGTAAAGAGAGCCCTATTTAGGCTTTCTTTATTGCACGTTCTATTTAATTAAGATTTTCTTATCCCCTGCCATGTTAATAGCTTGCTAGACCCTGCAAGAGCCTCCTGTATGTGATTAAAGTTCAATTTAGAGATTGAGATACAATTATTTAAGGTAAATTACATCTGTTTGAAAGTGAAACCAGTTTTTTTCCTAGGTGTGACTAGGGCTGCATAAACAGAAACAAAGTGATTTAACTCCTAGATGACAGTGAATTGAGCAGTGAAATTGCAGGGGAATGATCTATACACTAAAACTGCTTTATTTAGCTAAAATAATTTAGGTGACTATAGTGTTCCTTTAATATATACGCTCATCACCCCTCCGGACTATATCAGAAAAGATAGCCGTTCTTCTTGTACAATCAATCTCTGGTGCTCATATGCAAGAAAAAAGACAACCACAATCGTGAAGTATATCGAAAAAAAGCAAATGTTTATTGTATTGCACTTCACATTAGGTGGTAGAGTACAGGAACAACTTCCTCTCCATCTGGATACACAGCATGGTACACACAAAAAACTAAAATAATACACTATAGATAAAAAAGTAAAACAATAAATGAACATAAGTCCTAGGTATTCTCTTTCATCCAACAGGTTTCGTCCTTTGTGTGGGACTTCCTTTAGGGATATGTGGTTAGGTCGAAAAGCTTCTGAATAAATACTTCCTGGTATGCTGATCATCAGTGTTTCCACGTGTGTCTGCCGTGCATTCCACCCAAGAACACTAAAACATACTTCCTGTTTGCTCGATATCCAATTCAAGTGACTCGGAAATGCTTTTCACCGTGGAACAGAATAACATCACAATAACATCATAATAAAAAATATATATATTAACGTATATACTCCAGTATCAGCCAACTTTTTCGGCACGAGGGCGGGGTGCGCTAGATTTAGGTGACCGGCAGGAGGGAAGCGCACAGCGCTCCCTCCTGCCGATCACTCAATGTTGCGTGGTTGGGCAGCGCGGACCGCAGTACAAGAACTTCTGTTTCCTGTACCTGGCCACTGGCGGAATGACAGGAAGTGCTCACTCAGTGAGCGCTTCCCTTCAGTCCGCCGGCAGCCGGGTACAGGAAACAGAAGTTCCTGTACTGTGGTCCGTGCCGTCCGGCCTCGCTACATAGATAGGACCAATGAGGGGGAAAGGACCATTGAGGAGCTGGGGGAGAATGGGGAAAGGACCACTGTTGAGGTGGGGTGAGAAAAAAATCAGCAAATTCTGTCTGTAATGCAAAAGTCTGTAGTGTGACTGTAACTCCCATTAGTCATGGGATAATCTGAAGCTTTGCATTGCATTTTGATACAAGTAGCTGCTGCATTTCCGACCCTAGGCTTATACTCGAGTCAATAAGTTTTCCCATTTTTTTTAGGTAAAATTAGGTGCCTCGGCTTATATTCCGGTCGGCTTATACTCGAGTATATACGGTAACTTCTCGTCTGGACGTGTGCACGCGACTACAATGAACACAATGCACACACGTCTCGACGGAAAGCTGTAGGGGACAAAAAAAAATCGCATAATCTTACATACCATATATATACATCAAAAGGAACCATGGACACCCAAGTCAGCCATATATAATACATATGTATAAATGGGATATAAAAATATAAAACTATATATGGAAACAAATCTTACAGAAATTATATATAGGTATTAAAAAAAATAAAGTATATATAGAAAATATGAAAAAAGGCTGTCTTTGATGTTAATGGAGCTAGAACAGCATAAAATTTTCATATCATCAAAACCAGAAATGAGAAAAAAATAGACCATAAAAATAAACCTACTAAATGAGTCCTGTCAAATCAATAGCTTGATTTAAACCATATTTTATTGCTTTTAAGTTGTATATCCACTGAGCCTCTCTACGGGTAAGTTCTTGTAGTTTGTTCCCTCCCTTCCAACTAGGTTCTACTTTGTCATTACCAATGGCTATGAAATTGTTTAAGTTAAATTTAGCACATGAATTGCAGTGTTAAAAATGATGGTGAAAACATCAGGGATGATGTTTCCTAAAATCTCATCTTTTTTCCATACATGCCAATATTTTTTTATGGCTCTCTCTATATTTTGGGCATGAGCACTATATTTAGTAATAAATGTAAAATCGATTTTTTTTTTCTTTTTAGTATTATTGAAAAACAAAGATCTGTCTGTGTTCTTAATTTCAAGTTCGTCTTTCTCTATTTTTTCTCTGTTATAACCTTTCTCAATGTATCTATTCTTTATGATGTTGGATTGAGTGGAAAATTTTGTTTTGCCAGTACAATTCCTCCTGTCCTGAGGCGAATTAATTGGCTTTTGGGAATGTTTGCCAACCAGGGGGCATGGTGTAAACTAGTATGTTGTATTGATGTGTTGCAGTCTGTGCGTTTTAATTTTCCATTCTCGACAAAAATGTAAGGTTTTAATGTTTTGGCTGATTAATGTATATATACATGGGTGCCAGCGGGTGCAAGGGGTGCACTTGCCCCCCGGGGCCTGCACACTCTGCCGGAGTGAGCAGGGCGCAATGCAGTGGCAGAAGGGGCACAAGGCCCGCAAGGCCCCCTGCGGATGGGGGCTCTTTGTCCTCATTAGGGGGTGCGTGGGGAGCGATCTCTGGGTGACCGACAGGAGGGGAGCACACTGCATAGCGCTCCCCTCCTGCCGGTCACAGTATGTACCGTGACTGAGCAGGCGATAGGCGGTAGGGGAGCTTCTGTTCACTTACCTGGTCTGACAGGAAGTGCTCACAGAGAACGCAGAAGCACAGAACTGCTTCCTGTCAGTCCGGGTAGAGGAACAGAAATTCTCCTACCGCGGTCAGGTGAGGCTGAGCGGGTACAGGGGAGCTAAAGAAGGGAACAGGTGGGGAGGAAGACTAAAGCAGGGAAAAGTAGGCACAGAAGGCGGGCTAAAGGTGGCATAGAAGGGATCAAAAGAGGGCACACAAGGGGAGGGGAGCTAAAAGGGGCAAAAGAGGGAACAGAAGATGAAGGGGGGCTAAAGAGGGCACAGAATGTGAAGGGGGGCTAAAGAGAGTACAGGAGGTGAGTAAAAGAGGGCACAGAAGGTAAAGAGGGCACAGAAGAGGGGTGCTAAAGAGGACAGATGAGAAGGGCAAAATAGGGCACAGATGGTAAAGGGGGGCTAAAGAGTGCACGGAAGGGGGCAAAAGAGGGCACAGAAGGTAAAAAGGGGCTAAAGAGGGCACAGAAGGGGAGATGAGCTAAAGGAGGCAAAAGAGGGCACAGGAAGGGGCTAAAGAGGATACAGGAAAAGGGCAAAATAGGGCACAGAAGGTGAAGGGGCAAAAGAGGACACAGGAGGGAAGCAAAAAAGGGCACAGAAGAGGGGGCTAAAGAGGGCACAGAAGGTGAAGGAGGGGCTAAAGAGGACACAAGAGGGAAGCAACAGAGGGCACAGCAGCCAACCTCAGCAGCCAACCTGCCAGCCGGCCGCTGCAGCCATCCAGCCGGCCGCAGAAGCCTACCAGCCACATTAGCCTGCCAGCCACAGTAATTAAAGGACCACTCTAGGCACCCAGACCACTTCAGCTTAATGAAGTGGTCTGGGTGCCAGGTCCTTCTAGGGTTAACCTATTTTTTCATAATTATAGCAGTTTCAGAGAAACTGCTATAATTATGAATGGGTTAAGCCTTCCCCCTAATCCTCTAGTGGCTGTCTCATTGACAGCCACTAGAGGCGCTTGCGTGCTTCTCACTGTGATTTTCACAGTGAGAGCACGCAAGCGTCCATAGGAAAGCATTGTAAATGCTTTCCTATGCGACGGGCTGAATGCGCGCGCAGCTCTTGCCGCGCGTGCGCATTCAGCCCAAGAGGAGGAACGGAGGAGGAGAGAAGGAGGAGAGCTCTCCGCCCAGCGCTGGAAGAAGGTAAGTTTAAACCCCTTTCCCCCTTCCAGAGCCGGGCGGGAGGGGGTCCCTGAGGGTGGGGGCACCCTCAGGGCACTATAGGGCCAGGAAAACGAGTATGTTTTCCTGGCACTATAGTGGTCCTTTAAGGTGAGAAGTGCCAGAATGGGGTGAATGGGGGCCAGAGAGACCCTCTCCAGGACCCATTAGATTTCATTATAGTCTCTAATGGGGCCTTGAGGGGACTCTTTCTAACATATATAATATTTAATTTGTGCAGTAAATATTCTTGAAAACATTAAAAAATACTGCACCAGCTACTGGTGTCAAATGCTCTAGGTGTGCCCCAGTGTTCCAGCAGCTTCCAGTCAGACCGGCTGGGTAGAGGAAATGGAAGATTCTGTAAGGTCCGCTCGAGGATTGAAAGAGACACACAGTGGGGGTGGGGGATACTGTGTGTGCAATCTGGTGCTGTGATGTAAAAGTGCTGTAGGTGCAATATGATGTTGAGGGTGCAATCTGGTGCTCAAGCTGGTATTGTTCATGCCACCTATTGTTGTGGCCAAATGTAACACCAAATGCAGATTCTACATTTTTATAATTCAGTTATAGTGCCTTGATCATGGGTGTATGACTAATGGGATGCATTGAAAAGTGTTAATTTTAAAACAGATTAGAAATCTCAACCCTCAAATCAGACAATGGCAACTTTATTCTTATAATAAGATTTTGCATCATGTTTCTCAATCTCTTGCATGTCTATTCTTTATGTGATAATGAGTATGCCCCTCCCCTTCATGACACTGTCAAAAGGGGGCAGAGCATGGATGTCGTTACAGTTATACCCCTCCCCCCGGAAAAATTCCTGCAGACGCCCATGTGTATGTGTATGTATGTATGTATATATATATACACATATACACATTCCAAGGGGTCCTTGCACTCATAAGCTCTAAAATAAAGTGGCTGGATGCTTGCAGTCAGGGGAAAGCAATACACATAGTATAAAGGGATGACCTGCACAAAATTTGCGCTTTTAACAACAGCTATGGAATAAACAATTATTTGGCTAAATTGGATCAACAAATAATACATACAGGTTTTAGTTTTTTCTACTGAAGTCAGAATTCAAAGTGACAATTGTCACCTCACAACTATTTTAAAAAAAAAATATAATACTCCTTTCATCACATTTTGAAACATAACTTTTTAAAAATGAATTCTGACTTCAGTAAAAAAAAAAGAAACCTGTATGTATTATTTGTTGATCCAATTTAGCCAAATAATTCAGGGCAAATTTTGGTCAGGGCTGTTCTGAGACATTTTAGGTGATATCATGCATATTGCTGCTTTTTAAATGACTATGTCACTTAGATCAAAGGAGAGAAGGCATTAGGCCAGGGATGCGCAATTTGTATCGCCCGACGCCCGGGACATGCAGTTCCAGGCGCTGAGCAGGTTGCTCATTTTTACTTCTAGCCCTGCTAGCAGCAGAGTTGAAGGGCAGTGACTTGTCGGATCCTCGGTCCATGACCAAGGACCCGACATTGGGAGGGGGCCTGGTGGTTGACCCTGTGCCGCTGGGTGCGAAGTCCCTCCACTGTGTCTGGGGAGAGAGCTAGCAACCCTGTCTGCAGCTCCTCGGGGTGTGAGCGGCAGACTGTGCATCTCAAGATCTCTGGCCAATCAGAGAATTGCTGTGGGTTACCACGGCAATGCTCTGACTTATGAAGATCGCGAGACAATGCACAGTCTGCAGCTCACACCCCGCGGAGCAGAGTGGAGAGACAGCCCACCAGACCACCAGGGAGGGTGATAGCCCACAGGACCAAAAAGGGAGCCACCAGGGTAAAAAAAAGGTACTTCTACACCTCAGTCACCTGTCACCAGTTATCCCTCATCCCTCACTCTGTCACCAGTCACCCACTCACTCTGCCAACATTCACCCCCGCTCTCTGTCACCGGTCTCCCCTCCTTCCAATTACTCTGTCACTAGTCACTCCCTCCCTCTGTCACCAGTGGAGGAAGGAGGTGACTGATGATAGTGAGGGAAGGAGTGACAGTTGACAGCGTTATGGAGGGGGTGACAGAGTGAGGTGGTGACTGGTGACAGACCTTATTTAAATACGGTTCTGATTAAAAAAAATTGTATCAGGACAAGTAGATTGTCATGGCGGACAAATTGAATGGGCAAACTCTTTAGTCCTGGGACAAGTAGTTGTTTTTTTATTTCCACACCCCTGATTAAGCTATCCTAAATAAAGTTAAAGATAGTTTGTAGCTCCACTTTAAGAACTATCACACACTGTATTTTGATTTGCAGAAACTAAAACTTAATTACACTTGTTGTGCTGCTGTCAAATTATAACCACTAAAAAGTATAAAAATGTACATAAAACATAGACTACTGTGTGTAAATGTACAGCAGCACAGGAGGAGCACTATGACTGACAAATGGCCTTGTACATATTGCTATTGAGTGGTTTCAGGCTCTAGAATCTTCTTCCCACGCCTCTTCGCTATGCCTAGTCCTGACAGACAACTGGCTCATCCAATCAGCTTAGCCCACGTTCTGTTTTTCAACCAATAGGCGTTCGCCTCCTCGCTGGTGCGATTTGTAGCTTTCTGGAAGCTTCGCTGAGCTGCAGTTGCTCGCAGGTCGCCGAGCGGTGAGGGTCAGGCGCGCTCCTCGCTCTTCTTTCCCCCACATTTAGCGGAGTATTTTCCTTGCTTTTGAATTCGGCGAGATGACTCGTACCGTTGCGCTGGAAGTGCCGGAGCCGGTGTGTTCGCCATCAGACCGTGTGTGAGTATGGTGGGGGTTTAATGCGATTTATCAGTAATATTGACATATCGCGCAGTTAACGCGTTATATCGTCGGTTAATAAATGTGTCAGCGGGTAGACAAACAACGGTGCGAATATAAACTTGTTATCCAACCTAGCTGGTCTTTAAAGCGGCTGTCCTGGAGCCTGTGACATGGCGGGTTTGCTGTGTCTGTCTGTGTGTCTGCCATTCCTTCACCCAGCCCGAGCTCCTACCATCTAATCCCCGACATGGTAATCCTGGCTATTAACTAACCCCCCAATGTAGGAACTGTAACTATTTTTACAGAGTTTGTCTGATCTGTCACTTATTCTCCTGTGTTCATGTCTCCCCATTACTATTAAAAAGACAACCTGATTCATGAAATACTTTTCCTTGCTCTCCAACACAACAACAATAAATAACCACCCCTCCACCCCCCTGTGCTTTCACATTTTGTGTTATCCTGCAATTTGTGTGAATCCATGTATTTTTCTTAGGCTGTGTTAATGACAATTTAGGTGCTAGAATTTAGGGAGCAAACACGTTTCGTCTAAAGCAGTGGTTACCAATCCAGTCCTCTTGTCTCCATTACCAGTCATGTATTATTTAGCCACCTGTGCCACATACAGTTTCTTCTGCTGGGTCATTTAACTAAACTAGACATGTCTGATACCTGAACCCTACACATTGAGTAAGGGCACTCTGCCAATGACATTAACCCTGCATTTCCCTTAATAGTTCGGTGAAACTAACAAGTGAGTTCTGAAACATTAAGCTGTAGCACCTTGATCAATAATGGCAAATCTTTTAAATCCCAACTTAAAGAGACTCTATAGGCACCCAGACCACTTCAGCTCATTCAAGTGGCCTGGGTGTAGTGTCCCTTTTGCACCTAGTACTGCAATGTAAAACATTGTAGTTCCACAGAAAACTCAATGTTTACATTGCAGCACTAAGTCTGCCTACATTGGCTGTCTCCCAGGATCCAAATGGACCTTTGGTCTGGTACCTTGACCCCGAACGTCCTCGTGCTCTACATGAGGACATTCCGCATTAGCTATTTCCCCAAAGGAAAGAATTAATTCAATGCTTTTCTATGGGGAGGTCTAATGCTTGTGTGGCACTTGTATTTATTGCATCATATTTATTGTTCCACACCATTTGAAGAAGAATGCAGATGTACATATTTCTAGCGAAGTCTAATTTACTTTTCTCTTTATTTTTAGAGTTAATTCTGATGTGCTTATTTTGCAAGACAAATACTGCACAAGTGAAAACATAAATGGTAAGTATTTAACGGACTAGCTTTTCTACCATAAAACTCATTAGAGTTGTAATGTGTAACTTCTCAACTTCCACTTATGGTGACTATAAAATCTCCCAAGAAATGTCTAGTAACCTGGGGTTGTAGGGAGTAGCTCCTATGCAGCACTGTCACCTTTGAACTATCATCTCCCCCATCCACCTCACATAGAGGCTTTGAATTGATACTAGAAAGTATAAGGATTGTGGCATGTAGAATATCAAACTTGTATTGCGAATGCCTTCATCACCTGACACAAGTAATGGCTGATAGGACAAGGCTGCAGGATGCTAAAGGTGCACTATAGTGTTAGGATTACAAGCTAACACAATGTCACTATGATGCCACCCATCCCTTAGCGACATTCAAAGGGCTAAAAACTCTTTAAACACTTAACTGACTCCAGCACTTCTTCTCATGTAATTGTGACGGGGTAACTAATGCCATGCACTCCTAAATAACAGTTAATTGAGTAGTGAAATTGCAGGGGAATGATCTATACATTAAAACTGCTTTATTTAGCTAAAGTAATTTAGGTGACTATAGTGTTCCTTTAAAGATGCATAGATTATGTTGCAAGGAGTACCTGATCAAACATTCTTCATCTTGTGAAAGTTGCTGCAATTGAAAGGGTATATGTATCTCTGCCATGTTATTTGCTAAACTAGAGTAATAATGGTCTTGGCAAACTCACAATGAAGTTGTGTAATTGCTTAAAGGGACTCTCCAGTGCCAGGAAAAAAATTGTTTTCCTGACACTGCAGTGCCCCTCTCCCTCCCCTCATCACATGTTGCTGAAAGGGGTTAAAACCCCTTCGGTGACTTACCTGATGTCCCTTGGCGGTGGGTCATGCTCTGCCCACACTCCAACGCCAGCGGGGGTGACCTAATGCGCTTGCGCGACAAAGGCCGCGCGCATTAGAACTCCCCATAGGAAAGCATTATTCAGTGCTTTCATATGTGGATTCCGGTGACACTGGAGGTCCTTGTGCATAGCGTGAGGGCATTCAATGTCGTTTAAAACGCTTTTCGTGTTCTAAGAACACAGAATTCCTTCTAGTGGCTGTCTGATAGACAGCCACTAGAGGACTTAACCCTGCAAGGTAATTGCAGTTTTATAAAAACTGAAATAATTACACTTGCAGGGGTAAGGGTGGTGGGAGTTGGCACCCAGACCACTCCAATGGGCAGAAGTGGTCTGGGTGCCTGGAGTGTCCCTTTAAGTAAGTGAATCGCTCTAAACGAAGGGGTGCTAGACCGCACTTTTGTGCTATTAGTATATTGTGTTTTGGTGTCTTCAACACCTGTTTGACAAATGAGAAATTAATGTTTGAGGTATTGGCTACACTCTCTTTACTATACTTGCTCATACTCCATAGATATTTGTTCTTTTTCAAAACTAATGTGTGCTATCTTTCTATCATACTGCTGCTTTCAGGCAAAATGCAAACTGTAAAGGATTATGTTCAGAAAAGTGATGTATTTGAATCTGAAGCAAAGAAAAGAACAAGTGAAATGACAAATTTTATGGATGACCTGAGTTTGAATTCTCCAAAAGAGCGACAGTCTCGGTCAAGATCCAAAACTCATTCCAGTAAAAGGAAGTCTTCATCTTCCAGGTCCTCCTCTGAAAGCTCACGCTCAGATTCTAGTTCTTCAATATCAAGAAGCTCAAGCAGATCACATTCCCGTGACAGAAAATGCAGGTATAAGAGATATCGAAAAAATTCACGTTCTTATTCCAGAGGACATTCGAAGCCCTATTCTAGAAGTCGTTCACGTTCTTATTCCAGAGGACATTCGAAGCCCTATTCTAGAAGCCGTTCACGTTCTTATTCCAGAAGACATTCGAAGCACTATTCTAGAAGCCGTTCACGTTCTTATTCCAGAGGACATTCGAGGCCCTATTCTAGAAGCCGTTCACGTTCTTATTCCAGAGGACATTCAAGGCCCTATACTAGAAGCCGCTCAAGGTCCTACAGCCCACGACAGAGAAAAAGATACTCTTCTGCCTATAGAAGATACTATAGATCTCCTCCTAGGTATAAGTCACGTAGCCGATCACGCTCACGTTATGGATCCTATCTCAGAAGCCGTCATACAAGGAGCAGGTCAAGATCCCGTGGCAGGAGATACTATGGCTTTGTCAGACGACCTTACTCTCCTACATTCAGGAGCTGGAGGAGCAGATCAAGAACAAGATCTAGAAGCAGAACTCCCTTGCGACTAAGTGAAAAGGGTATGTTTCAGTTGCATCAAGAAATTCTTTTAATACACATGTTATATCAAAGTGACTGGATTCAGATAAGACCACTGCTTGCACTAGGGTTTGCCAAATTCATACTGGCCATACCACTTCTGTAGTCTATACAGAGTGACCTTAGGCATGAACTCGAATTGCCACAAGGTCACTTCATGTGCTAACAATCAATGTAGCTTTCACCTAGTGATGGACTACTAGCTTTCTGGTATGAATACAAAGTTACACAATGAGTTAATCTTGCAGATATTTACATGCAGCTGATGTATTGCCATTCTTTTCTCTTAGAAAAGTTACAGTTACTGGAAATTGCAAAGATAAATGCATCTAAAGTACTGGGAAAAGAAATTGAACTACCAGAAAGCCTGAAAAGAGAATTAAAGAGTTCCAGTGTGAAACGCTCTGAGGTAAGTAACTCCATACATAAGTGTTTGATCTAGTGTGTTGGTGACCAATTCAAGTTTAAAAGAAGGATTTTATCTCCACCAGTCGGGTCAGGCTTTGGTATTTCATGAAGTGATGGTAGCTGCAGAGACTGTCTAAAGTGACCTGTCAATTTTGTAGGTGGAAATTAATGTTTTTTTTTTTTGTTTTTTTTTTATGTGAGATGGCTAGCTGATTTGCTACAAGTGGGATTTTTTCCCCCTTCCTTTTACTACGCCTGAATCTTCTCATAAGAGGGTTGTGTTTTTTTTTTTTTTTAAATATATATTTTAATTTATATTTTTGTTTGAGATTCCTTTGGTGTTGCTTACCTCTTCTGCAACAATATCCACATGGTCCGATCGAGACTCCTCATAGAGGAGCTTTGGGGACCTGTTGTGCATGTATGGAGAATGGTGCAACTATCTAAGCTTACCCTATAGGAAAGTATTAAATCAATGTTTTCTTTCCTAAAAGGGCTTCTGTGTTACGTGAGCGAGTTTTTACTCTGTGATATTAAGCCTGCAATGCAAACATTGCAGTTTTTAAAAACAAATTCCAGTGCTTCTTACATTGTAGGTTTTAAAAGACCACTGCATTGGCCCGGCTTACTTTAGTGTTCCTTTTAAGAAAAGTATTTTAGGAAATACTGCTAGACAGTATTAAAGGACTAAAACTGCAGTATGAACTACTCGACTGACAAACACTGGTGGTAATAGCCCTTTTACCCCTCTCACCCCCACAAAATATACAGTTTAAATGCTTTATTTCTGTTTTCTTAGAAATGAATATGAACTCCAGCCTTTGAGGATAAGAAGCAGGTGGTAATGTTATATTGTGTATAGGTATTCCTTGGTATTTCATTTGTTCTCTACCCATTCGTGCTGACACATTGATCACAGGTCTGATGTTTTGATTTCATGATATTTTTAGTGACTTTCAATTCCTGTTTATTTAGTAGAAAAAGTATTTGTAAGGCATGCTGAAAAAGATATTCATGCACCCAACAAATAACACTGCTGGAAGTGGTGTTAACATGAAGACTTTCTTTTAATTGTTGTTTCTTAACATCTTTAGCCAGAACCACTCAACACTTTTATGTCAAAGTACACATTAAACACCTAAAATGTCCTTAGTATTAACATTTTCTTCATAACTGTATCATTAAGCTAGTCACTTATGTCTTCTGCAGAAGTAGTACTGCATAGGCTACTTGCGTCACAAGTTGAAAAACATTAGATTGTAATATATTTACACAAGCAGCTTAGATTTTTTTTTACATCATCTGCCACAACTCAGAAGATATATTGTATTTAATTTCTTTTAATAAGCTAAACGGAACTAGGTAGAGGTAACTTCATAATTTATTAACTATGTTCCAGATTGTTTTTGACTGCAGAAGAGGAGGAATGCATCCGTGCAGATAAGTTTATTATACTGAATTGATATGGTGTGATTTAATTACTGTTGATTAGACCAGGCAGGTGAGAACAAATGTTGGGTCTTTACAAACTCAAAACCGCAATTTAATAGTATGCATATATATATATATATATATATATATCTTTGTGATGAATAGGATTTGTTGTTTCTAGGAAGTTGCTATTTCAACAAGTAATTAAAACCGTAACGCTCATAATTATTTGTCCAATGCAGTACAGCTTTAAGCTGAAGCCATATTGAAGGGAGCATTTTAAAGTCACCCTAGAATTTTGAGGCATTTTGTGCATGTTATATCCACAAATTCTACTATCCTATTTCTAATCAGTCTGCTCCTTATTTCTAGCAATATGAAGATAACATCTGCCCTGACAAATCTTCTAAAAGACAGTCTTCCAGTCACAGTGTAAGTAACTTGGCTATTTCCTCTGACTTTCTATATCTCATTCATGCCACCACTCCTTATGCTGTCACCTCTATGTAATGGGTGTCTTGTTTTTTCAATAACTTCCTTAACTCTGTTATGGCATGGGCATTTTCTCCTATGGAACAATCCACTGTAACAAGAGTAGCTCATTGGTGTTTTTTATTTTAAAACCTAGATGTAGCCATTAAGAAGGCAGCATACTCTTGTATAATGTCACTCTAGAGTAATATGTTAAGTAAACACTAATGGATCTTGTTTTCTTTTTTACAGGACCCTGATTCTAAATTTAAGAGCATCACTGGAAGTACTAGCAAAGAACAAACTGAAGTGAAACAAAAAAGCACTTATGACCTGTGGCGTCCAATAACAAGTCCTAAAGCGTTCTCTAGTGAATTGTCCCCAAAACATTCATACACAAGCCGAGCACGTTGAATTTTGACTGTCCTAGTTGCTAAAAGACAAATTAAGGGCAGGTTTATGCTCTGGCTTACTATAAGAAGTGTTCAGGGATTGTAACACAGGGCATTATGGGATTAAAGTATTGGGGAAAAAAAAACATGCAAATGAGTTGTAAACTAAAAACCAAATTATTGAATACTAGGTCTCTCTCTTTCCAGATGTGGCCTAAAACGTGATGGAACACCAGATTGCAGGTGGGAATGTTCATTTTGTAAATATTGTATAGAGTTGTATAATTTGTCTCCTGTAGGGGGTGTCTTTGTTTTCGCCCCAAAATATCTACTTAAGATTATGTAGCAGTCGGTTTCTTATATATGTATTTTTTATTTATTTTTTTCCCCCATTTGTATTCGAAGATGTTAAATGTTGTGTAAAGTGTTTAATAAGACTTGGGGCTAGTTTTTGTTTGTTTTTTAAAAACACTTTAAAATGTTGTCTTGCGGTTTATACAAATTTCTAAGTTTCCAATAAAAGCTCATTAAAATACCGTTTCTTTACTACTAACTGCAGGTGTAATACCACTTCATATGAGTTGCTTTTGCAGTATTGTGTTTAAAGACAGATGTACATACCTGTGGAGCCTTTGCAAGTAGAAGTGTCGTTGTTTTCCAAACAACCTAAAGAAACATTCCAGTGACAGGAATGCAAACTTTGTATTGTCACTATAGTCCTGAAGTGGCTGTTTAGGTGTATGGCCCCTATCTCGGTAAGAAGGTGGTTGTACTACTTCTCACCATGCAGTGCCAGTCTTGCCACGGCTGGCTCCCCCTCCATGGGGAAAGCATTGGGAGGCTATTGTGCATCTGCGGGAAAAACGCTTTGCTCCACTCAGTCTATATGGGGAATGTTAGTAAATGCTAGTGTGGCACTCGACTAGGAAGCGCCTCTAGTGGCAGTTTGACTGCTGTTAGAGGGGTTTCTAGGCACCAATGTTAACAAGGCAGCATTTACATTGAAAAGCCTACAGGAATAGGCTATAAACACCAGAACCCACTACATTAGGCTGCAGTGGTTTTAATGACTATAGTACCCCTTTAAAAAGCTAGATAATTTATATAAGTTGGCCAAAAAACTCAAACTATTCTTTGGTTTGCATCCTTCTGGACAGGGTGTACACTGACCAACCAAAACAGATTATAATTGGTTGTGGACATCCAGTATGGGGATGCTTGTGGATTACAATGCCTTAATTGAGTTACTACAGTGCTAAAATTGGTCCATAAATGACAAGCTCAGAGTAGGAGAAACTTGCTGTACCAGTTAATACTAAAAGACTTCTATGATCCAGATCAACTGTCAACATGTAAATATAAAAAAAGTGAGTTAGACTCTTACTAAGAATTAAAGTCTGCAACAACTGTCAAGTCTTGAAGTGTACTTTTTTTTTTTTTTTAAACCCTAAATAGAAGTTAGGACTCATTAGAGTCAAAGGAAGTTCTAGGGGTAAATGTCAGCTTTTATATGATGACAATTACAGAAGAACAAATTAAGCGGTTTCCTCTGTTCCACTTCAATCTTTCAAAATGTGGTCCTTCACAAATTCCATAAACTTAACAAAGGCCCGATGCATGAGGACTTGAAGAAGTAAGATTATAAATGTTGTACTTGAACGTAATTACACTGATACTCAATTTTCAACGGGACTCAGAAGAAAAAGTAAATTTACACCATATCTGAGAGATGAGAACAAAGTTGCGTTGGAAATGGTCTGCAAAGAGTATTAATTTAAGAGCGTGACTTACAAATTCAGCCTAATCAAAATACTTTCATGGTCTGAATCAAGGGCCCTAAAGGAACTGCGAAATAATATAACCATAAAGCCCTGTGACAAGGGAGGTAATATTGTGGTGATGGGACAACAACCAGTATGTTGAAAACATAGCTGATACCCAAATGTGCAAGGTTTTAAGTGAAGTTGCAACTGAAGTCTTTAATTGTGAATTAAACAACTTTTTGGAAGATGCACTGCTTATCAATTCAATATTGCAGGAGGAGTTCGAGTTTTTATTCATAGCACAACTTGGTGTCAGTTTGTTTAAAAAAAAAAAAAAAAAAAAAACTCCTGTCCTTTTTAACCCCTTCAGGACCGGACTGTTTTTGCGATGTTTGTACGTTAGGGACCAGAGCTATTTTAACACTTTTGTGGTGTTTGTGTTTAGCTGTAATGTTCCGCTCTCTCATTTACTGTTCCGATACAAATGATATATTTGTTTTTTTCAGGACAAAAAGGGCTTTCTTTACATACTATTTTTATCATGTCATATAATTTAATAAATAAAAAAAATGGTGAAAAATTTAAAAAAATTTTTTTTTTTACTTTTATTTAAAAATCTTTTACTGATCTACAAAATCGAATGAAACAAACTGCTAAATAGATTCAAAATTTTGTTCTGGGTTTAAAAATGCCCAATGTTTGTCTTTTTGCTTTTATTTGCAAGTTATAGGGCTAGAAGTACAAGTAGGAAATTGCTGTTTCAAAATGTACATTTTTATCAATAGTGACATTGTAACACTGTTTTGTCATAAATCTCCAAAAAACATCCCACATGTATATATTTTTCTTAAACTAGATAACCCAGGGTATTCATCTAAGAATATTTTGATACTTTCTATGCAGCCATTTTACCACAAACCTTTGCCAAACTTTGCATTGGTAGTTTATTTTTTTTCACATACATTGCAATTCAGGTATAAATTCACAGATTCTGTTAGGTTCACTGGCAAACACCCTAATATGTTTTCAGCAACATCTCCCGAGTACAGGGATACCCCCCATGTATAGGTGTCAGGTTGTTGGGCTAAAATGCCACATTTGGCAGGTGCGCATATCAGTTTCCCAGCTTGGAATTTTGACATAGAAACATAGAATGTGATAGTAGGCAGATAAGAACCACTCGGCCCATCTAGTCTGCCCAATTTTCTAAATACTTTCATTAGTCCCTAGCCTTATCTTATAGTTAGGATAGCCTTATGCCTATCCCACGCATGCTTAAACTCCTTTACTGTGTTAACCTCTACCACTTCAGCTGGAAGGCTATTCCATGCATCCACTACCCTCTCAGTAAAGTAATACTTCCTGATATTATTTTTAAACCTTTGCCCCTCTAATTTAAGACTATGTCCTCTTGTTGTGGTAGTTTTTCTTCTTTTAAATATAGTCTCCTCCTTTACTGTGTTGATTCCCTTTATATATTTAAATGTTTCTATCATATCCCCCCTGTCTCGTCTTTCCTCCAAGCTATACATGTTAAGATCCTTTAACCTTTCCTGGTAAGTTTTATCCCGCAATCCATGAACCAGTTTAGTAGCCCTTCTCTGAACCCTCTCTAAGGTATCAATATCCTTCTGAAGATACGGTCTCCAGTACTGTGTACAATACTCCAAGTGAGGTCTCACCAGTGTTTGTACAATGGCATGAGCACTTCCCTCTTTCTACTGCTAATACCTCTCCCTATACAACCAAGCATTCTGCTAGCATTTCCTGCTGCTCTATTACATTGACTGCCTACCTTTAAGTCATCAGAAATAATCACCCCTAAATCCCTTTCCTCATATGTTGAGGTTAGGACTCTATCAAATATTCTGTACTCTGCCCTTGTGTTTTTACGTCCAAGATGCATTATCTTGCATTTACCCACATTAAATGTCAGTTGCCACAATTCTGACCATTTTTCTAGTTTACCTAAATCATTTGCCTTATCCCTCCTGGACCATCAACCCTTTTACATATCTTAGTATCATCAGCAAAAAGACATACCTTACCATCAAGACCTTCTGCAATATCACTAATAAAAATATTAAAGAGAATGGGTCCAAGTACAGATCCCTGAGGTACCCCACTGGTGACAAGTCCAAGCTTCGAATATCTTCCATTAACTACAACCCTCTGTTACTCAGCCACTGCATTACCCATTCAACAATATTTGAATCCAAACTTAAAGATTGCAGTTTATTGATAAGCCTTCTATGTGCAACAGTGTCAAAAGCCTTACTGAAATCTAGGTAAGCAATGTCTACTGCACCACCCTGATCTATAATTTTAGTTACCCAATCAAAAAATCAATAAGATTAGTTTGGCATGATCTCCCTGAAGTAAACCCATGTTGTCTCTGATCTTGAAATCCATGTGTTTTTAGATGTTAAACAATCCTATCCTTTAACATGGTTTCCATCACTTTCCCCACTACTGAAGTAAGGCTTACTGGCCTATAGTTGCCTGACTCCTCCCTATTACCTTTCTTGTAAATGGACACAACATTCGCTAACTTCCAATCTTCTGGGACTACTCCTGTTAACAATGATTGGTTAAATAAATCTGTTAATGGTTTTGCTAGTACACCACTAAGCTCTTTTAATAGCTTTGGGTGTATTCCATCTGGTCCCATTGACTTATTTGTCCTTACTTTTGACAGTTGAAATAGAACCTCTTCCTTTGTAAACTCATGTGTAATAAATGACTTATTTATCCTTTTTCTCAACTGAGGTCCCTTTCCTTCATTTTCATCTGTAAATACAGAACAAAAATATTATTTGAGGCAGTCAGCTAGACCTTTATCCTCTTCTACATACCTTCCTTCTTTTGTTTTTAATCTAACTAATCCTTGTTTTACTTTCTTTTCTCATTTATGTATCTAAAAAGTGTTTTATCCCCTTTTTTTACTGACTGTGCTATTTTCTCTTCTGTGTGTGATTTGGAAGCTCTTATAACTTGCTTAGCCTCTTTCTGCCTAATCTTATAAATCATTTTGTCTTCCTCACTCTTTTTTTTATAATTCCTAAATGCTAACTTTTTGTTTTTAACTATTTTGGCCACATCTGTGGAGTACCACAGTGGTTTCTTGAATTTTTTTCTTTTACTGACAAGCCTAATGCAATTTTCTGTTGCCTTCAATAGTGCAACTTTTAAATAATCCCATTTCTCTTGGACTCCATTTAAATTGCTCCAGTCTGATAATGACTCCTCTACTCATATTCTAATTTTAGAAAAGTCTGTTTTTCTAAAGTCTAAAACTTTTGTTTTTGTGTGGTGTGACTCAGTCACTGTTCTTATATTAAACCACACTGACTGATGATCACTGGATCCTAAACTTTCACCTACAGTAATATCTGATACCAAATCTCCATTTGTTAACACTAAATCTAGTATGGCCTCTTTACGAGTTGGCTCCTCAACAACTTGTTTTAGAGACAATCCCAGTAGCTAATTTTGTTTTCCAATTTACATCAAGAAGATTAAAGTCACCCATGATGATAACTTCCCCCTTCATTGTCATTTTAGCTATTTCCTCAACTAGTAGATTATCTAACTCTTGAATTTGTCCTGGGGGCCTATAAATCACACCTACACAAGTTACTGTGTGATTACCAAATTCTAACGTAACCCAAACGGACTCTGTTTGCCTCACTAACTTTTATTAGACTAGATTTTATGCTATCCTTCACATACAAGGCCACCCCTCCCCCTTTCTTGCCTTCCCTATCTTTCCTATATAAAGAGTACCCTGGTATTGCTATGTCCCAGTCATTTTTCTCATTATACCATGTCTCAGTAACAGCGACTAAACCTACACTATCAGTTTATTGCCACAAGTTCATGGATCTTATTCCCTAAACTGCGAGCATTTGTAGACATGACTCTAAGCTTATTATTTTTTAACACACTTGCTACAGGCACCTTCTGTCCTTGTTTTGGGGGACAATTGGATTGATGTTTTATCACCCTCTTGCCCCCCCTCCTAGTTTAAATACATCCTAGCAAAACCTCTGAACTGCTCACTGAGAACATTTGTTCCCTTTTGAGAAAGATGCAAACCATCTTTTTTGTACAGCTTATCTCCATTCCAAACAGAGCTACCATGAGAAATAAAGCCAAATCCTTGCTCCCGACACCATTCACCAAACCACAAATTAAAGTCCCTAATACGCATCCGCCTGTCGTTCTGAGTGTTATGCACAGGCAGAACTTCAGAGAATGACAGTGTGGAAGCAACCTGCCGTATATCATTGGCAAAAACACTAAAAACTTCCTTAACCTCTGAAACCTCATTGCAAGCCAAGTCATTTGTCCCTAGATGGACAAGTACATCCAATTCCCCTTCCTGCTTTGCTTGCTTAACAATATTACAGATACGTCTCCTGTCTCTGTGAGCAGTAGCTCCGGGAAGACACCTCACAAGACCACCATTGTCCATCTCCACACCTCTTATAATGGAATCCCCCAACAACAACTGCTTTCTATTAGGCCTCACCATAGTCTCCAAGCTGGTCTCCACAACACCACTAGTCTCAGTGCCTCTCTCCACAACACCACTAGCCTCAGTGCCTCTCTCCACAACACCATTACACTCTCAAAGTGCAGAAAATTAATTATGAAGAGCAACAGACTGTGCAAAATGCCTTTTATCCACAACTCTAAGTATACCAGATCCTACAGTAATCCATCTGCCATTCCTAGTATGTCTCTGCGGCAGTGGCTTTGCAGCAGTTCCAGTCTGAGTTTGTTCACCAGATAATTTACAAATCTCAGACTTCAAAAATACAATCTCCTGCCGCAAAATAGAGAACTGTCTACAGATTAGACAATAACCAAACCTCCAAAAAGTGGAACGTGAAATAAATGCATAGCAACTATTACACTGAACTAAGTCTGCCATTCCAATGAGGAGAATAATTTAAATCAAACAAATCTTGACTTTTTATTTATCCTCCTGAATACCTCAGATTACCTCCAGAATATCTCCAACTACACACTTAGAAACAGCATTTAGAAGTAGCAACCAAGCTATATTAGCCAAGCTAATGACCACAGCCCTTATATAACTCCTAAAATCACCACCTACTAGGAATGTTTAACACCTGGATAAGCCTCTGCTTATTTGCAAACAATAGCTAATTTAAACAGCAATCAATAGCAAGTAATCTAATCAAATGCCTTATAATTACCAACAGGAATTCAAACCTTGTGCAATCAGTAACCTTTTCCTACAGATGAATCTTACCTGTAACAGTAGAAAAGAAAGCTCTTAGCACAACTCTTAGACAGTTGAAGCTTCTGTAAAACTCTCCAGAATATCTCCAACTACACACTTAGAAACAGCACTTAGAAGTAGCAACCAAGCTATATTAGCCAAGCTAATGACCACAGCCCTTATATAACTCCTAAAATCACCACCCACTAGGAATGTTTAACACCTGGGTTGGCCTCTGCTTATTTGCAAACAATAGCTAATTTAAACAGCAATCAATAGCAAGTAATCTAATCAAATGCCTTATAATTACCAACAGGAATTCAAACCTTGTGCAATCAGTAACTTTTTCCTACAGATGAATCTTACCTGTAACAGTAGAAAAGAAAGCTCTTAGCACAACTCTAAGACACTTGAAGCTTCTGTAAAACTCTCCAGAATATCTCCAACTTCACACTTAGAAACAGCACTTAGAAGTAGCAACCAAGCTACATGTTGACATCCTTCCTGTACCTAAATTTTAGTGCAAGCACTTCAGCTTTGCAAAGTGCTTTACATTAGCCTTTTTTAAATTTTGCCTCTATGGGAGATCGTGGAAAGTCTTTGGAATTTTTTCTGGCAGTGCTGCAGGCCAGTGTCTGTAAACCATAAAGTGTTTTAAACAGACGGACACTACTATAAAAATTATCCACATAAAGGTGGTAACCTTTATTGAACAAGGGGTTTAGTAGGTCCCATACAAGTTTCCCACTTGTCCCCAGGGAGTCAGGACAGCCAGGAAGGTCAAGTTGACCATCTTTCCCCTCATATACACGAAAGGCAAACGTGTATCCACTTTCATTCTCGCACAGTTTGTACAGTTTTATGCCATACCTAGAGTGCTTTGAGGGGATGTATTGTCTGAACCCTAATCTCCCTTTGTATTTCATTAGCGACTCATCTATGGATAAATTTTGTTGGGGGTTATAAACATCCGAAAATTTGTCCTGAAAATGGTCTAGCAGTGAGCGTATTTTATGAAGCCTATTGTATTGGAGGTGATCTCTAGGGTGACAGAGGGTATTGTCACTGAAATGTAAAAATCTCAGCAGTAACTCGTATCTGGCTCTAGGCATGGTTTGGGAGAATACTGGACTAGACATTATTGGGTTGGTGCTCCAGTATGAGCTAGTCGATGGCTTCTTTATAATCCCCATGAGCATTGTAAGAGCCCAGAATTTTTTAAGCTGTGGGATGCCAGTCATGCTCCCTGACTGTATAGCTACCTGGATTGTTATCAATAAATTGGGTAGCATACAAGTTAGTCTGGGAAGCAATCTCCTCCCAGATGGTATCCCCTAAAAATAGTTCTACATACTGCATTGGGGAGAAGCCATCCAGATTAACATTAATGCCTGCCTTGGCACTAAAAGGGGGACGTTGGGCTCGGCTAACAGTGGCGGTACCCAGTCCTCCTCCACATTCGGCGTAGCAGAGGAAGCACAGCTTCTTTCTTCAGCCGGCTCACACACAGATGACGTCGTCTTGACTAGAAAACTGACTTGGGTCAAAATCTGATGCAGTGTCAGTGGCGTCAGAGTCTGACGCCAAGAATACATATGCCTCCTGCAAGTTATACATACGCTGCATGTTTTACACATGACTAAAACAAATTACAAACACACAAATTTTTTTTAATACTTTTTTTTTTCCTAAAACAGACTAAACAGCAATCCCTAAACTAACTCCTGTCACAAAAATCTAATGGAGATTTGGGGGAAGGAAACTGACTGACCAAGACAGACCATGACACATATTTTTTTATTAAACATTCTTTATTTTTCGTTTTTCAGAGGTATTTTTCAACATTGCTATAGACATTTATCGCATAACATGTATGACATCAGTTTATAACCAGTCTTTTTTGTGTAGCTGGTTTCCATCTATACTGTTGCATTGGTAGCATGTTGATAGATTGCATTATAGTTAAACCATAGAAAACAATGAAGCTTAAATATAAACATAAATATACATTCAAGTATAAACAAATTCAACCGTTGGTCTCGGTGGTTGAGTGTTGTGTTCACGGGAGGCTTTGGTGGTTCTATTCTCGGGTTTTGGGTGCCAGCTAGGATCTGTTGTGGGCTTACCCTGTTGGGTTGTGGGTATGGGCCTTTGTGGGGTCTTCCCTGTATGCTTTGCTGTTGGGTTCCCCCCCTCAGGTTTCTATGCTATTCTATGCTTCTGTTGGCCATTCGTGAGGGCTGTGGTGTAGTGAGATTCGGTTTTGTTAGGGAAGGTTCGTTCAGCCATGGGTCCCATATTTTGTAAAAGTGGTGTGACGTTTCGTGGACCTGGGCTGAGAGTCTGTCCATTTCAATGGCTTCCCTAGTCTTACGGATAATTGTGGACAATGTGGGGACCTCAGGGGTGCCCCAGAGTTCTGCTATTGCCCTTCTGGTTGCCAGGGCCATTCTATTTGTTAGTTTGTTTTGGGCTCTGGTTAAGGGTTCCCAGGGTTTGGATAGGAGCCATATCCATTGGTCTAGGGGGATGTCTATGTGGAGTAAGTTGGAGACCAGACGGGCGACCTCTGCCCATAGCGGTGCTAGTTTTGGGCATTGCCACCATTGGTGAATGTATGTTCCCCTTTGTCCACACTGTTTCCAGCAGAGGTCTGTGTCAGTCTTACCCATGTGGTATAGTCATGCTGGAGTTAGCTACCATCTTAGTAGTGTTTTGTAGGCCTGTTCCTTGTGATTGACACATATAGAGATAGAAGCCGTGGCCTCCCATATATCCTGCCAGTCCGTCGGGTCCCCCGGTGGTCCTAGGTCCCTCTCCCAAGGTGCCACATAGGCCATTGCTCCTGGGGGATGAGCAGTAATTAGTAATATGTAGTTGTCTGTGATCTGGCCCTTGCGGGCTGGGTTGTGTATACATGCTCGTTCAAATGGTGTGTGTCTGGTGGTGGCTGCTGTCATGTTTTCTGGGAGTTCCAGAAACCTCTTTAGCTGTATGTATCTGAAAAAGTTGTGTGTGTTGTATGGTGTGTGTTGTTGGGGGAGATCTTTGTATTGCAGTAGTTTTCCTCCTTCGAAGAAGTGGTAGATCCTATAGAGGTCGTTATATTCATAGTGTGCAAAGTCTTTTGGGTTCATGCCTGGGCTGAATGCTTTGTTGCACAGTATGGGTGTCAGTGGTGACGGGTTGTTGACAATAGGGAATTTCTGGGTGAGTTTGTCCCAGGTGCTGATCGAGTTTGATAGTGTTGGAGGTTAGACGCCATGACAAAGACAAGTCCCTCAAGTTCTGCAGGTCCTCCGTTACTTTTTGTATCATCGGTGTGTAGTTTAATGCGTATGTGCGGTGTAATTCCGCTGGTAGTGCAATCCCTAGGTACGAGATATGTGAAGTGTTGTATTTGAAAGCGTATGTGTTCTGTAGTGTTCTCTGTGGTTTTCTTCTATGGTCAGCATGAGTGCTTCTGTTTTGTCTAAATTTAATTTGTACCGCGATACCTCTGAGTAGTCGTCTATGAGTTGGAGGAGTGGTGGGAGCACGTTCTGCGGGTCTGTGAGTGACAGCATTAGATCGTCGGCGTACGCTGCTGCTTTGTACGTTTGTGTGCGTATTTTGATGCCTGTGATCAGAGGTTTGGTGCGGATGAGATGCAGTAGTGGTTCAAGGGAGAGCGCAAACAGAATAGGGGATAGGGGGCAGCCCTGCCTCGTGCCATTGTAGATAGAGAACGAGGGGGGGTTCGTGTTTGGTATGAGTAGGTTAGCAGTGGGGTTGGAGTAGATCGTTCGCAGGGCGTCTTGGAATGGTTTGGGGAATCTGAGTTTCTCCAGAGTTCCAAACAGAAATGGCCAGAGCAACCTGTTGAATGCCTTCTCGGCGTCTAGGGATAGGAGAAGTGTCGGGATGGAGCGTTGTTTGGCCACCCATATCAGGTCTAGCATCCTCCTTGTATTATCGCTAGCTTGGCGAGTGGGGATGAAGCCCACCTGATCCGGGTGGATTAATGAGATGATGTACGGCAGTAGCCTGTTGGAGAGTATTTTCATGAATATTTTAATGTCAACGTTTAATAGAGATATTGGCCGGTAGTGGCCTGGGTCTGAGAGGGGTTTGTTGGGTTTGGGTAGAAGGCAGATGTTGGCCTGTAGCATTTATTTGGAAAGTGGGTGTCCCTGTAGCAGGGAGTTGTATAGTTGTACTAGGTGGAGCAGGAGGGTGTCTTGGAATGTTTTGTAATATATGCCCGAATATCTGTCTGGTCCTGGGCTTTTGTTGGGTTTAGTGGCCCCTATCGCAGTTGCTACTTCTTGCTCTGAGATCTCCATGGAGATTTGAGTGATCACGCTATCTGATAGTGTGGGCAGGTGGGTTCGGTCCAGAAAGGTTAGGATGCGGTCCGACAGGTTGGCAGTTCGTGGTCTGTGTTGAGGGGAGTGGTCATATAGGTCTGCAAAGTATTGTTGGAATGTCTCCGTGATTTTTGTGGGTATCTCTGTGTTGTGTCCCAATGGTGTGCGAATGCGTGTTATCTGCTTTGTCTGGATACGCTTGCGCAGCCTGCGCGCCAGGGGCGTGTCAGCCTTATTGGACTTTTCATAGTACATTTGCTTTGTCCATTGGAGGGCTCTGGTGGCGTCTACTGCCATTGCATTTCTGAGGACCTGTCTTTGGTGTTGGAGTTATGTAGTAAGGTCTGGGGTGGGGGTGCTTTTATGTTGGGATTCAAGGTCCCTAATGGTTGCTAGAGTTTTTTCTATGTGGCCATTTTATGAGCAGCCCATAGTATTGCTTTTGATTGTACTGAATCCTTGTTTATGGCGAAATAGTTTTTTAGTTCTGTTTTGATTTGTTGTACGATTTGTGGGTCATGGAGTAATATCGGATTGAATCTCCAGGACCAGGGTCTGGAGATCCGTGGTGGCTGAAACGTTATTGATATTTCAGCGTGGTTTGACCACGTTATGTTGCCTAGGGAGGTCATTGTCATGAGTAGGAATAGTGACGGGGAGATCAGGAAGTAATCTATGCGTGAGTAGGTTCGATGTGGGTGGGAATAAAAAGTGTAGTCTTGTGTGGTAGGATGTTGCAGTCTCCATATGTCTATCAGTTTGGTTGTAGAAATGAAGTCTGCCATAAGTTTGTCGGTTCTGGTCGATTGGGTGTGTGTAGAAGTCTGTGGTGGCTGTTTAAGTCTGTCTATATGTGGATCGATCGTGGTGTTGAAATCTCCACCTATAATCTGGTGGTAGTTTGGGTGTAGGCTGAGGTGGGCTTGTAGGGTGGGCCAGAATCCCGGGTCGGGGATTGTGGGGCCGTAGACGGAGGTGATCGCGTATTTGGCTGGGCCTATTGTGCCCGCTACCGTGAGGAAGCGGCCGTTGGGGTCCCTGTGGGTGGTGGCGATCTGGAGGGGGCAGGTTTTTCTCAGGAGAATCGCCACTCCGTTGTGTTTGCCTGAGTTGGAGTAGGCTTGGTAGCAGGCCCTAAAGTGGCGACTCAGGAGAGGGAAAGGGCGTGTGTCTGCGTAATGTGTCTCCTGTAGAAGGATTATGTCTGCTTTGGTGAGGTTAGCGGGGTTATTTAGCCCTTTGCAGTTGATAGAGATGCACGTCATGGTTGTGTGGTGGAATGTGTTTTATTGGTATGATGGGGTGAAGAAGACCTCCCCCCGGTTTCGGACAGTATCCCGTGTTTCTGATTATTGATTCTATCATGTGACCCCTTCGTGAGACCATGTGCTGGTGTTCAGGTGTGGTTGTGGTGTGCTGTGTTGGAATTGGTGTTTCTTGGGGGGACCATTGGGGGTCCATACCTTAACACTATTCTAGTGTGAATAAATGGTAACCGTATATTTATTTAAAGGGACACTATAGTCACCAGAACAACTACAGCTTATTGAATTTGTTCTGGTGAATAGAATCATTACTTTCAGGCTTTTTGCTGTAAATACTGTCTTTTCAGAGAAAATACAGTGTTTACATTACAGCCTAGTGATAACTGCACTGGCCACTCCTCTGTGTTAGAGATCCTTCCTAGGTCATGGCTGCCTAAAATGCATCCAAACATTCAGTGACTCCTCCCTCTACATGCAGACACTGAACTTTCCTCATAGAGATTCATTGATTCAATTCATCTTTTGAGGAGACGCTGATTGGCCAAGGCTGTGTTTGAATAGTGCTGGCTCTGCCCCTGATCTGCCTCTTTGTCAGTCTCTCCTCAGCCAATCCTATGGGGAAGCATTGTGATTGGATCAGGCTACCACTTCTGCTGATGTCAGCAGGCAGTGGGCAGGTGAAAAGGAAACAGGGACAAAGTAAACAGCTCCAGACTTGAATACAAGTAATATATTACTATATTTAGGGAGGCATGATGGGGACAGGGGGCTAGATGGTGGTTTTAACCCTATAGGGTCAGGAATACATGTTTGTGTTCCTGACCCTATAGTGCTCCTTTAACAAATTCAGAAAGTTAAAGTCAATAGATTGAGTTTCCACTGATATCCTTTTGTACCAAAGATATATCAAAAAGTAATATATTAAAAAATAATTGTAAATAAAAATAAATAAATGGAAAAAGATTTTAAAAAGTTAAAAAGGGAAAGAAATGTTAAAAAGAGAAAAGATTTAAACAACAAAAAAGGAATATAACAAAAACCAAAAGAAAAAAAACAAAGTTGTAATCCTTATTCAGTTCAGTAATCAGTTGGATCTCAGTAATATAGGAGCTTGTTCTGTTAAAACTAGTCCTTTAACCCCTTAAGGACCAAACTTCTGGAATAAAAGGGAATCATGACATGTCACACATGTCATGTGTCCTTAACCCCTTAAGGACACATGACATGTGTGACATGTCATGATTCCCTTTTATTCCAGAAGTTTAGTCCTTAAGGGGTTAAAAAGTTCAGTTTTCATCAGCACTTGCCAGCTTTGGGGAACAAGCCTTTCGAGGTTTCTGGGTCCATGCGTTTTGGGGCTGTGCGCTCAGAACCTGTCATCCCTTCAATGGCCCTGATTCAACAAGAAACATTCCTGCTTATATAGGAGGATGCGTCTGCCTTTTCTCACACAGCGCTTCCCTTTGACATTATTATATATATCCATTTGTATAAGCACAAATCCCCAAAAAACAAAACAAAACAACAAGGCCCCCAAGGAGTATCAAAAGGATGTCCCTACCGAAGCTCCTTTACCTATTCCGCATGTTACCTATTGAGATTCCCTTAGATTTCCGTAATAAAGCTCAATCCATCTTTGCCAATTTTATTTGCGATAATAAAAGAGCAAAAATATCAAAAGGTACACTGCACAGACCTTTGAAACTGGGGGGAATGGGAGTGCCTCATATAGCAAGCTACCGACTGGCCACCCTAGTAGCACAGGCCGTTAACCTACACGCACCTAGCGAGAACTTACTTTGGGTAGACATGGAGCGCGCACAAATGTCTACTGATGCACTTTTGACATATGTGTGGACCCCACCCTTTAGACATGAAAAAACTATTACCCTTTTTCACACCACGAAAACAACAGTTCAGGCCTTGGACAAAACTAGATCCCTACTCCTTAACTCTCTTAAATTTCAAGGATTAGCCCCGTTGAAAACTCTGCTCACAGTTTCCCGCTGGCTCATGGTGACCTCTTGGGAACAAGCTGGAATCACTACAATTTCCCAATTCCTATAACGAACATATAACCTATGACTTATTTTCAGATACCTGCAAATTAAAAGCATACTACTGAACCATCTTGACATGCCCATTGAGGAACACTGTTCGAACGAAAAGGACAGCTGCTGTTTGCTAGCCACATGCTGGACACCTCCCCTTAAACCCAAATTATTATCTTTATGTTATGGTTCTGTATCTAACCACTCACAAGCCCAATCTCTCCTGTTCATGACACAATGAGAAAAGGAAAGTGGGAAGACTCTGGGTCCAGAAAAATGGGCTAAACTGGTGAATGCTTTGATGGGCAGACCACATGTTTTTCCCACAAGAACTTCACAAGATTTATCCTGACTCATCTGAGATCTGCTGGAGGTGCAGCAACAAAAAGGGTACAATGCTCCATATATGGTGGGGATGTGAGCTTGTACAACTAGGCTAACAGTTGCCAAAATACTCTGAAACATGGGCATCACACTCACATTTTCATTTGAAACATGTCTATGGCTTGATTTGCCCCCAAACTGGTCTTTTTACGAGAGGGCAATAGTCTCACAGGTGATTCTGGCGGCTAGGGCCCTCATTGCACTTAACTGGAAATCGAGTACATGCCCTTCTGAACCAAGCTTGATAGATAAAATAATTTTAAACTATATGTATGAATTAGCTTCAGCAGTAACACTGAACCAAAAACGTAAGATCACACAAATATGGGAGCCGTAGTGCAACCTATACACATTCAATCCTCCATAGTAACCATAAAAACAATCAAAAGAAACAACATACAAATTAGAGATGATAGACTTCTAACTTTTGAAATCTGACCATAGGTAATCAAACTGTGGGATACCTATAACAATATCCACGCCAACACTAACACTACCACACTATCACGTAACCACTGACCAACACGTCACCCTACCATCTTCTCTTTTCTTTTCCATCTCCTTTCTTTCTTAGATCTACGCTTTTCCAATTCTAGTTATTAAATTTTTGGTTAAGAAAGTCCCATGGCTCTCTGTTAAATAATTTTTCTTGCTTTTTCCTTTTATACGGGGGTACAAGAGAACTACAACAGTCAGAGAGAGGGGCCAATACAAGTAGCTAGAAAACAGCATCAGATGTCATACGTTTAATCCATGATGGGGAATGGGGAAAGGTACACTGAGAGTAGATGAGCAACCAAAGTGTTATTATAATGATATTTCAGTTCTGACTTCGAACAATGGGAAGATATAGCATGTTCTCTATAAAATGTCTGTTTATCTCAATGTAAATACCCATTTGATGTACCAAATATACCACCCTTTCTACTTTTTGTACCCTAATATCAACTATGATTTATAAAATCAATAAACTCCAATTGAAAAGAAAAATGGGAATTTCCTTGATACCAGATAGGTAACCTACCAAAACCCATGATCTGTATTATATTGGGTTGCTTCCCTAAATCCTCTCCCTTTACCCTAACACTTAGCTATACAAAACAGTTTATTCTAGTTCTGTGTGATGGATACTATCTTGTTCCTGTTAAAAGAAAGTTTAGGGATGTGCTAAATCAGTGTCAGGAACGTTCGGGGATCCTACACACAGAATGCAAATACTAGTAATGTATACCGGACCTTAGGATGGCCGGACTAACACTACATACACAAAGAATAGTCAAATAGCGAGCCGAAGTCAGGGGTACCAGAAATCGGGATCAACGATAATGCAATTGCCAAGGTCAAAGGAACACAGAAGGAGGAATAGTCAAATGAAGCCAAAGTCAGAATGCAAGCATACCAATACAGAATACGCGCTCTTGGGTAAAACAAGAACCACAACAGGGCGATGAATCTCTCCCTGGTGTCTCTTTAAATACCGTGTTCACTTAGGTAGGTAACCACGCCCCCAAAATGTTCTTGTTCAAACACCTTGGTGAGCCGTGGCGTTCTTAGCGTCATGCCGTTGGCGGTTATTAGCCGCGTCATAAAAGGAGGCTGGCGTGAGAATCTCTAGCTGAAAGTTAGTAGGAGTGTCTAGTATCCTGCAATGAGATGCCAGCCTGTGACAGGCTCCTGACTGATACATAAGGTAACCTGACAGTACCCCCAACTCAACGACCAAACACCGGGCGGGAAGAAGCAGGGTGGTTAGGAAACCGAGAGGGGAATGAACGGACCAAGCGGGAGCATGAATGTCAGAATCAGCCACCCAGGACCTGTCCTCAGGACCGTATCCCTTACAGTCCACCAAATATTGGAGAGAACACCTAGAAATCCATGAGTCCAGGATAGCACTGACCTCGAATTCCTCTTGGTCCTCCACCTTAGCCAGAGAAGGGGGTACCACAGGACTAGTGATTCTGTTACACGTCAAGGGTTTCAATAAGAATACGTGGAAAACATTGGGGATGCAAAAGGAGTGAGGCAATTCAATACAATACGCCACAGGGTTGATCCGTCTAACCACCTTATATGGACCAATAAATCTTGGACTTTAAGGCGGATATGTTTAGTACTCAACCATACCTTATCACCCGGGTTATATACAGGGGCATCAAGTCTACGCCTATCTGCATGCTTTTTATCAAGAGACGATTTATGAACGTGCAATTGTTGAACTTGCTCCCAGACTTTCTTTAGGTCCTCAACATGTTGATCCACCATCGACAATCCCTGTGAAGAAAATGCGATGGAAGGACTACAGGGTGAATACCATAGTTTAAGAAGAAGGGACTTTGTTGAGTCACATCAGAAATCGCATTATTTAGAGCAAACTCAGCCTAAGGAAGCAAGCCAAGCCAATCATCTTAGTGAGCAGAGACAAAACAACGTAAATATTGTTCTACTCTGTCATTAGACCTTTCTGCTGCCCTGTTAGTTTGAGGATGATCAGTCTCTGATGCATCGATTTCTAACAGAAATGGAAGACTACGATCACGATGGACTAGTATTGGGGTGGAAGAAAAAGACCTTTTGAGATCTTCAAATGCCTGAAGAGCTTCATCAGACCATTTTTGGGGATTTTACCTTTTTTAGTCAAATTCGTTATGGGTGCTACTATGGATGAAAACCCCTTGATGAATCGTCGATAGTAGTTCAAGAAACCAATAAATCTTTTTGAACTGCTTTAAGGCCATTAGGTAGTGGCCATTTGAGTATGAATCCTGTGTTCGAGATTAAATAACCCAGAAAATTTATTTCAGTTTGGTCAAAAAGACATTTCTTTAACTTACAAAATAGATTATGTTGTAAAAGTCGAGACATTACTTTTTAACCTGTTTGTGTTGTTTCTTTATCCTTCGAGTATATTAGGATATCGTCAAGATACACTATCACACACTCTTGCTGGAAGTCACGTAATACAACATTGGCCCCTTCAGAACCAGACTGTTTTGGCCATGTTGTACGTTAAGGACCAGGGCTGTTTTAACATTTTTATGGTGTTTGTGTTTAGCTGTAATTTTCCTCTCTCTCATTTACAGTTCCCATACACGTTATGTATTGTTTTTTTCAGGACAAAAAGGGCTTTTTTTTTTTTTACTTTTGCTTGAAATATCTTTTACTTACCTACGAAAGCTAATGAAAAAAACTGCTAAATACAGGGAGTGCAGAATTATTAGGCAAATGAGTATTTTGACCACATCATCCTCTTTATGCATGTTGTCTTACTCCAAGCTGCATAGGCAGGGGCGTATTAGCCGCGAGGCAAACAAGGCATTTGCCTTGGGCGGCATTTTTCAGGGGGCGGCAAAAAACGCCGCCCCCCAAATGCCCAAGGCAAATGTCTTGTTAGCCTCGCGGCTAACAGACATTCTGGGCGCTGGGCGGCAGTGGCTGCAGCGCTGGGCGGGCGGCCGGCGAGGGAGCTCTTCCCCTGAGCGCTCTGCTCAGCTCCCTCGCGCGCCGCCAGCAGAGTGAGGCTGAGAGCCGTGTTGATGACGTCATATTCCGGCTCCCAGCCTCACTCTGCTGGCGGCGCGCGAGGGAGCTGAGCAGAGCGCTCAGAGGAAGAGCTCCCTCGCCGGCCGGCCGCCCGCCCTGCAGCCACTGGACCCCAGGGAGAGGAAGAACCCCCCCAGCATTACCAAAGGTAAGGAGGCTGGGGGGGGTTAAATAAAAAAAAACAAAAAAAAACACACTAGTGAGTGTGTGTATGTCTGTTAGTGTGTGTGTGTCTGTTAGTGTGTGTGTGTCTGTTAGTGTGTGTCTGTTAGTGTGTGTCTGTTAGTGTGTGTCTGTTAGTGTTAGTGTGTCTGTTAGTGTGTCTGTTAGTGTTAGTGTGTATGTTAATGCTAGTGTATGTATGTTAGTGTGTGTGTGTCTGTTAGTGTTAGTGTGTGTGTCTGTTGGTGTTAGTGTGTATGTTAATGTTAGTGTATGTATGTTAGTGTTAGTGTGTGTGTGTCTGTTAGTGTGGATGTCTGTTAGTGTGGATGTCTGTTAGTGTGGATGTCTGTTAGTGTGTGTGTTTGCCTGTTAGTGTGTGTGTGTGTTTGCCTGTGAGTGTGTGTGTCTGTTAGTGAGTGTGTGTGTCTGTTAGCTAGTGAATGCGTATCTGTCAGTGAATGTGTGTGTTGTATTTAGAAGGCGGAGCAGGGGGAAGGTTGGGTGGCGGTTGCTGCGCGGGTGGGGGTGGCCTTGGGGGTGCCTGAGTTTTGTCCTGCCTAGGGCAGCACAAAACCAGGACACCACTGTGTATGCTTAAAGCCTACTACCAATTAAGCATATTAGGTGATGTGCATCTCTGTAATGAGAAGGGGTGTGGTCTAATGACATCAACACCCTATATCAGGTGTGCATAATTATTAGGCAACTTCCTTTCCTTTGGCAAAAATGGGTCAAAAGAAGGACTTGACAGGCTCAGAAAAGTCAAAAATAGTGAGATATCTTGCAGAGGGATGCAGCACTCTTAAAATTGCAAAGCTTCTGAAAGCGTGATCATCGAACAATCAAGCGTTTCATTCAAAATAGTCAACAGGGTCGCGTGTGGAAAAACCAAGGCGCAAAATAACTGCCCATGAACTGAGAAAAGTCAAGCGTGCAGCTGCCACGATGCCACTTGCCACCAGTTTGGCCATATTTCAGAGCTGCAACATCACTGGAGTGCCCAAAAGCACAAGTGTGCAATACTCAGAGACATGGCCAAGGTAAGAAAGGCTGAAAGACGACCACCACTGAACAAGACACACAAGCTGAAACGTCAAGACTGGGCCAAGAAATATCTCAAGACTGATTTTTCTAAGGTTTTATGGACTGATGAAATGAGAGTGAGTCTTGATGGGCCAGATGGATGGGCCCGTGGCTGGATTGGTAAAGGGCAGAGAGCTCCAGTCCGACTCAGACGCCAGCAAGGTGGAGGTGGAGTACTGGTTTGGGCTGGTATCATCAAAGATGAGCTTGTGGGGCCTTTTCGGGTTGAGGATGGAGTCAAGCTCAACTCCCAGTCCTACTGCCAGTTCCTGGAAGACACCTTCTTCAAGCAGTGGTACAGGAAGAAGTCTGCATCCTTCAAGAAAAACATGATTTTCATGCAGGACAATGCTCCATCACACGCGTCCAAGTACTCCACAGCGTGGCTGGCAAGAAAGGGTATAAAAGAAGAAAATCTAATGACATGGCCTCCTTGTTCACCTGATCTGAACCCCATTGAGAACCTGTGGTCCATCATCAAATGTGAGATTTACAAGGAGGGAAAACAGTACACCTCTCTGAACAGTGTCTGGGAGGCTGTGGTTGCTGCTGCACGCAATGTTGATGGTGAACAGATCAAAACACTGACAGAATCCATGGATGGCAGGCTTTTGAGTGTCCTTGCAAAGAAAGGTGGCTATATTGGTCACTGATTTGTTTTTGTTTTGTTTTTGAATGTCAGAAATGTATATTTGTGAATGTTGAGATGTTATATTGGTTTCACTGGTAATAATAAATAATTGAAATGGGTATATATTTGTTTTTTGTTAAGTTGCCTAATAATTATGCACAGTAATAGTCACCTGCACACACAGATATCCCCCTAACATAGCTAAAACTAAAAACAAACTAAAAACTACTTCCAAAAATATTCAGCTTTGATATTAATGAGTTTTTTGGGTTCATTGAGAACATGGTTGTTGTTCAATAATAAAATTAATCCTCAAAAATACAACTTGCCTAATAATTCTGCACTCCCTGTAGATTCAAAATTTTGTCCTGA